CCTCATGGATGGTAATCTACCTCAGCACGTTGCTGGGGACTCTCCTATTGTTTCTTGCTACAGCTTCATTTCAGCTGTAAGGGAGTGCGACGGGATACAGCTTACAATTCAGCTTTACAGCTTTATAAATTGCGGGCCTATTCTAGAAAATAATCAATAACTGCTCACTTATATTTGGAAATACAAACTTTACATCTCTTAGATCGTTAGATTAATCAATCCACAATGGTATTGTCGCAGTTCGTGTCAACATCCCAACCTACTACCGGAATACAGTATGGCCTCCGAAAACTAGCTAGCAAGCTAGATGGTTTCATACTCCTCGTCCTCTTCACGTTGCAACCCCAACATGAAGATATAATCATCTCCGCCCATTTCCTTTTTCGTTGGATTGTTGTTTGCTTGCACCGTTACTGCAGGCTCCAAAGTACATGTAGTAGTGTCGGGAACATTGTAGTATTGATTTGCAGGACTCGTCGTTGTCATTGGAATGTACTGCGCTGGAACCGGTCCTTCAGGCCCCAAAGTAGCATTAGTGTCGGGAACATTGTGGTATGCATTGTAGTATTGATTTGCAGGACCCGTTGTCGTCGTTATTGGCATGTACTGCGTTGGATTGTTGTCGTTGTCTGCTTGGACCGGTACTGCAGGCCCCAAAGTAGCATTAGTGTCGGGAACATTGTGGTATGCATTGTAGTATTGATTTGCAGGACCCGTCGTCGTCGTCATCGACATGTACTGCGCTGGAACGATCCATGATTCCGTCTCCTCTTTCTTTTCTTCTTGCTGCTGCTGCTGTTTCTTGTCTTGCTGCTGCTCTTGCAACGATTCTCCCATTGTATCTTGTTCTTCTTCGGCATCGTCAAAGACATCTCCTTCCTCGTCCGATCCTTCCTCCTTGGGCAAGAATGCACCACTCTCCTCAGTCCCGAGAGACGTGGCGAGTGCACTGATCATTGGTGTTTGTTGTAATGGTGGTAGTTGTTGTGGTTGTTGTGGTTGTTGTGGTGCTTCTTCGGCGGGGGAGTACGACGAGAGATTGGACAAAAACAATTCGAATCTGGTTTCCTGATCCTCATTGAGACTTCCTTTTCGGAGTTGCTCTAGTTGCGACAAGAACCATCGTCCCAACGTGGTACTGCTCCCCAAATAATCGGCAAATTCTTCAATGGTTCCTTTGGGTCGTCTCCGGGCATGTTCGTACCAGACGCGTTTCTTGTTGCGGCACCCATCAAATCGATCGTTCCATTTCTTATTTTTGGGTTCCCATACAAATCCAATATCATCGAGTGCTTGTCGTCGTGCCGGTAACATGGATGGTCGGGTCCGTCGTTGGGTTCGGACCCATTGTCCCAATGTCATGTCGGCGGGATACGGATGTGGGACAATCGTGTGCCCAAATGCTTGCTTGAATTGTTTCAATGCATCGAATCGATCCAACCACCGCGATGGAGCCGCATTGCGACTGTATTTGCTGGTAGTTTCTTGTTGCTGTTGTTGTTGTGGTGGTACAATGGCATAGTCATGTCCATTGCGAAATTGTTTCAAAAATGCCATGAGTTTGGATTGTCGTGCTTTTAGTACTGAGCCGCCGTTATTGAGACGTCCCCGTCGGAGTAGTCGAATTTGATGGCGAAACCAAGTGGCTGTAGTTTCATCGTTGATGCGTTGGGAATAATCAATGGGATCCAAATTGGAAATGTCCAATCCATGCCCTAGTTGAATGACTTGTGCCAATTTGGTATACCAAAGATGATCATTATTATGGTGATCATCGACGAGGAGAGCCATGTCTTGATGATCCATGTCTTGTGGATTTTGTTGTAGTGGTTGTTGTAGTGGTTTTCTTCTAGCAGTAGTTGTAGTAGTAGCAGAAGGCGATTGGTTTTGCTGTGGTACAACAACAGTAGCTGTTTTCTTCTTTTTGTTGGACGCGAGAGAACTCTTATTAGGTTTTCTTTTTTTGTTGTTGTTGCCCTTGTGGTTTGTAGATTTTTTGTTTGGAGATTTTTTGTTTGGAGACTTTTTGATGATGATTGTTGTTGGGGTTTGCTGCTGATGATTGGGTGGAACTCCTGTCGCCAGTTCGTTCAATAAAGTATCTAGTTGAAGTCGCTGTTGTGGAGTGAGTTCCGTATCTTTGGTCAATACTTGATGCCGAAACCAATTGGCAATTTTGGTCTTATGGCCGATATGATTGGAAAAGGCGTCGCATGTCAGTTTCATTCCCAATTTCAGAGTGCCATTGTCGTAGAGTTGTTGTCGGAGTTCTTGAATGGTACGAAAGGAATTGTCATTCCATTTCTTGCTGTTGGGTTCCCAAATAAATCCGACGGCGTCGAGTGCCTTGCGTTTGGCTTCTGTTAGCGACTCGCGGCATTTGCGTTGTTTCTTGACCCACGACGACAATGCCGTGTCTTGGTCGTAGCCATGTGGGACATTGGCGTGACCGTGTTCTCTCTTGAATTTTTTCAAAGCTTCCAGACTTTCCGGCCATCGGCGGCTGCTGCGGGGTGGGGCGGCTTGCTGAGGCGGACCTGCTATTAATAGTGGAGCCACTAGTGATCGAGGCTTTTTATTGGCAGCTGTCGGACGACTACTACTACTGGTGGCTACTAGTGGTGGAGCTCGCTTCTTGGTGGTGACTTTGGGCACTTCGTTCGGCTGGTCGGTCTTGGCCATCATGGACACCATGGTGGCTGGCAATCGTGGAGCGGCAGCATCCTCCATAGTAGTCCAAAGCGTACTAGTACTAGTATTCCCTCCTCTTGGATCCATTCTGTACTGAACATGCAGCAATCTTTGTTGGGGTTCGTGAATTTGTGGTTTTTGTCGAAATTGAAATTGGAGGTGGTGTTTCGTTTCCTCTTCAATATCTCTGACCTTATTGTCAATGCACCGGTGTAAACGCAGCTCTAAAAGCTTCATTCGGCACTTGGGTTGTGACGTTTGACTGTACAAAAATGACATTTCTGAGACTTGTCACATACAATTGGGCTTTAAATCTGAATTTGTACCGAAAGAGACCGAGACTGACGTTCCTCATTCTTTTCAGATGCGCTTGCTTGAATTGAGGATCTTTCGCTGCGCTGTTTGCCAATCGTCGCCTCATCCATCACCACTCTGGAACTAACACAGAACAAGCTTCTACAGGAAATCGAGGAGGCTAGTCTATGTACCGGCACCAGAACAGCAGCTCGCTTCCATTTATCCTCTCACCCATCCAAGACAATACAAAAGCAAGCGCCAGCTAGCTAAGAGGTTGACAGAAGAGGCAACCATGGAGGTTGGCAACAGCGATACACAGAGGAGGAATGATCAGACTAATAATGAAGGGGGTGCCATAGGTGTCGTCAAGAAGGAGGGATTGTGTTCCGACTTTTCTGCCAGATCGTCTCCAGATGACCCTCCCGTTAGGAACGTGGCGACTACCATCAACATGAACGGAGATGCTCCAATCACAAAAAAGAGACACGAAGGTGCAAGCCAGAAGGATCCATCAATTATCAATGGCCTGGAGCTACCAGCAGAGAAAACGATGAGTGGTGATGAGAAATGGCATCATGATGAAGAGGAAGTCCCTTCAGAATCACAGAATAGGGACCATCCAGCCACAAACGTACTTGGATCCGCGCACAAGGGCAGTGAGGAGAACGATGGGACAAAGCCGGTACTAGCAAAAACTCTACATCAGGAACAGCTGAACCTCCCAAGTGATGCTTCAGAACCATCGGATTGTTCTAACGACAGCCATATTGCAGAGGTGGGAAAACCAACGCTTCTTGCAGATCAAGCAACAAACGAATTCAACGTTGTTGCAAATCCTCTGGCCCAGCTGGACACTATTCCGGATGACGACTCTATCACCAGTCAGAATGATGATGAAGAGTCGGCCATTCCCGAAGCACATCCGGATTCCCTCTATCATCTGGCACACACACTGGGATCCATACTGGATGGATGGAACGACACTAAAAGTGACAAACAAAAGGCAACCACCGATATGGAAGAAGCCATACTTTTTGTTGGCGACGAAGAAGAAACAGAGGATGCAAGATGCCCTACTAGCTGCAAAGAAGTCACAGCTGCCGATTGGATTGCCATTGTCACGGCCATATTGTTTGCCATGCTCTTGGGATTGGTCTACTTACGACCGGACCAGGACACGGTTGTCATTGCAAGAAATCGCTTTCAAAACAGAGGAGAGCACGGTGGCAACACCTTTTTGAGATCGACTGCTCCAGGTCCCAGCCCTTCACCTAGTGCTACTATCCATGGGAGCAATAGCAGTGAAAAGAACAATACAGAGCCTGCCCTGACAAGCACAATGCTCAAAAAAAGCAGCAAAGAAAGCAACAGCACACGAAACAGAAGGAACACTTTGAGTAATGATAGTGCTGCAAGGTCTTCGTGGTATGTTCTGGAGGAGGACGAATACAAACTTATTTAGCTAACGAATCGCGTACATCTCAACGGAAACATATGCCATGGAAGAGGACCAAGCGGAAACTACATGTACATGGAAGGGGTTCCTGCCTTATAATACATTGCATAGAGAAAAGAAATTCTAAATAGATGGGTTCAGGAGCGAGGGCGGGGAAGGACAGGGAGTGTGGTGCAGGAGGGACGATGGGAGCATGGCCACGGGGGAGGGGGAAAGGAGAAAGAGAGGGGTGAAATGAAGAAGCAGAGGGGGAATCGGGAGGAAGCAAGAGGGGGGCAACATGCATTCTTTGAAGATTGCAAGTGCACCATCAGCATCCCAGATGGAACAGCGGCAGCTCATGTGCCAGCAGGGACACGAGAGCCACACATGCCAAGGTGGCGGCCTGAACAATAGCAAGGTTGAGCCGAGCATTAACATTGCCATCGAGCAAGACCCGGACCACTTTGCAGTGAGCAGATGGTGAGATACTGCTATTATTGATGTGAGTGTCATGGATTTGGACTGTGCTTCTTACCAAACCAAAGATCCAAACAAAGTTTTAGCCAACCAAGAACAAGAGAAAATTTCCATGTAGAAAGCCCCGTGCGAATCCAATCGCGCCTGCTTCCACCCTTTTGTTGTTTCTGTGGATGGCATGCTTGCCCCCAAGCCAAGACTCTCTTACAACGCCTTGCTTCTGCGACTGCCAGCAAAACTCAGTTTCATACTCTCAATGATATTCTTCATGCAGACCCACATCTCTATATATTGCCCTAGTGAAAGCTACTCATTTATGTCTCTGTGGATCCTGCAAAGCCAAACCCATTGGCCCCCGTAATGGTCCTCATTTTACCGCTCCTGAATCCATGGAACCTAGTCCAGAATTTTGACTCTTCTTTGCTTAAGCCTGGCCCGGCTGGCTTCCATAGATAATCTATGTACTCTACATACATGTAAACCCCCCGGATCTATGATGGCAGGTGGTAATATTCCGGACCAGGTACCAGGTACCTTTGTTTCGTTAGAGGTGCTTTTACGGCCTGACTGGCTTTAAAAACAGCTGAGACACGCACATCGATGATCATCCAAGGCCAGCGTCCCATCATAGTAAGGGGGGATTGAAGAAGCACAACAGCATGTTCCCATCCAGAAGGAGATCCAGTCTTGTTGCAATGAGCGACGATTCCAACCGCGTGACAACGGTGGAATCTCTGAGGCATCGCCATTCCTTAAAGCAACTGGAGTTTGTCTTGACGTCCGAAACTCCCTTTGCCGATTTGGCCGAGGAGATTCGCAACCACAACGATTTTGGGGGCGCTGGGGTCCACGACATTTCCATAGTAGTACAGTCTTCATCATCAATACGGATAAATTGGGACGATGCCAAGAGCTTGTTTGCCGCCTTGGGGGAATTGACGCAATTGCAGTCCATTACTCTGACGGGATTGTCCGAGTTTCCATTGTGCCGATTGACGCAACTCTTGACGCACATCCAACGAGCACGGTCACTGCGATCCATTCATGTGCGCAACGTGCAATTTGCTACTACATGTTCTAGTACCGGTAGTAAACAGCAGGAAGCGATTGAGTTGGTCGCCGCCTTGGTCCATCTCAAACGACTCCACCAATTTGAATGGCAAGAACGAATCATGGACAACAACAGCTGCAGTGTCCTCAAACAGAATTTCTACATTTGGAACGTCATCTTCCGACAATCTCAACTGGAATATGTGTGTTTACAAGAAACCTCTGGTCAGCCTTCTTCCACAACAAACACCATCCTGGGACAAATTGTGCGTCGTGACGCCGTTGAAAAACTCTGCGACTCTCCCCGTTTGGAGGAGTTGACTCTGTTTCACTTTTGCATTGGGGCCCATGCACTCACCGGCATGGCCCACAAGCTATGTACCAATCGCAATCTTCGAGTCTTGAATTTGGATTTGCGTTTCACGGGCCCACCGGGAATTATGGCGTTGTGGAACATGCTCCAAACGAATGAAAGCATCAACACGTGCGAATTGTGGATTCCCAGCGGCTCGACCGCATCGCTGCCACATTTGGCCCAATGTCTGACACGGAATACCACCTTGTTGGTATTGGTCCTCAAGAGCAGTAATACTAGTGCCATCTGCGCCGTGTCCGACAAGGACGCTCGCGCCTTTGTCACCCTGTTGGAAGGAAACCCGTTTGGTCCCATTACCTTGGACTTGGATCAATACACAGGTCAGTATGCTCCATTGATTCAACTCCACACTCATCTCAATGTCGAACGAAACACAGACGAGTCGCTCGTCCTGGCGGCATCACCCGAAACCGTCACGCAAACGATTTGGAATTGGTTGTTGCTGACCGCCGTCACGGCCGAAAAACCCGTATCGTCACTCTATCGATTCAATGCCATGTTTCAAATACTCTTGCAGTATCCCACTGTCATGACGGACTGGAATACAATCGATGCCATGGCATAAGGCAACAAATAAATGCGATGCGTAACATGCATGGCACCACCAGAATCCACTTCAAAACGCCACCAGCTGACCAGCTAGCTAGGCTATCGGTAGCGTTGTTATGCGTTCCATTGATTGTTGCCCGAGCGAAGCCTCTCCCCCCCATGCGATGCTGTCTGAGATGCTTCCTCCTTCAGCAATACTGGGTTGATCCTGGGTACGATAGCCAGCAGCTGTCCATGCTAGCTACAGTATTTCACCTCGGCAGTCTTGCGGCCAGAGCCCTCAACCCATTTAAAATTGTGTTAGTTCCTGCCCTATGATACATTCCGAGGTGGAGATTGGTGCGGATATATCTTATCATCTAACGGTATCGTGCGCTTTGATTTGAGTTTGGACAAGCTTTCCCGTGAAAGGGCCGGAAATCATGATTTTATGAATCCAAGCAAATTGATCAATTCAAAACCTAAATATAAAATCGAAACCAAAATAAAAATCCGAATAAAAATTACTGTGGTAATTTTTTAAACTAGTAAAATCAATCCGAAACCCAAGAACGAATCCAAAATATAAAGTTGAAACAAAAATACAAAATTGAAACACAAATACCAGAATTTGGTGCAAATGGCGATTTCGTGCGGTTTCTGTGAAGCACCTTGAATCGCGAGAAAAGTTCCTTGCGTCAGTGGGACTACACGTAGATCTAGTAGTACCGGTAGTCCATAATGCGTTGAAGTATCAAAGCAAGCACCTTAACTGTAGCTACTGTACTGTGAGACTTCCAATTCCATTTGCTAGCTAGTACCCAATCCTAGCTAGCTAGCAAGCCAGAACTGCGAGGAAGGAGTTGGGTTTCCCCCGTCGAAACCCGTTCTGTAGATTTTTAAAAATGGTTTCAGCATCCAGCCACCCGTCGAGCAGGAACGGAAGCTAGGAAGGGGGGAGGAAGAGAAGGGTGAAAGGAAGAAGAGGGGGGGATGGGAGAGAGCGGGGGCAAGAATATCGGAAGAGAGCAAGTGCACCATCGGCATCCCAGAGGGGTGCCTGTGATCTGTGATGTGGCTACCATATCGATGGCACACACTACATTGCTCCTACCAGAAGGCATTCCCGAGCCTGCCATACTGTGGTTCCGTTGGCTAATGAATAGTTTGTTGGCACCCAAATTATTGAATATGTCAACGGGGGTTTAGAGTAGGTAGATTATCTACAGAAGCCAGCCTGGGCCAGGCTTAAGTCATGCTTTTGGGCAATGCTCACAAGTACAGCCACATAGACGGGTTCCATAGCAGACTGACAGGTTGGTGGTTGGAACGGCATAGTCATTCCCACCAAAACTTTTCATTTCATGTGGCGAGAGTATGACATCACACAATCCATCAGGGATACTGCCAGTCAAGGATGTGTTCATGACAACCAGGCTGGTCAAGTTGTCCAACAAAAGCAATTCGGTGGGAAGAGTGCCGGATATTTGCGTGTTTTGCAGTTCAAGCTTCTCAAGGCTAGACCACAAACCAATTTCTGTTGCAATAGAGCCTGAGAAAAGGTTGTCGTCGATACGCAACCACTGTAGCTGGGTGAGTTGGGGGAGCACATCTTGTTCCAGTGGTCTGCCTTCTAATTGGTTGGAACTAATGACCAGCACTTTCAGCTCTTGCAGTAGAGCAGACAGATGGAAAAGCATGAGCTTGAGATGAAGTTTGCAAATCTTGTATCTATAAGATGGTGACTCACGTGGCATCTTTGATAACTCTTCTGGTAAAGTCCCAGTGATATAGTTCCTCATCAAGACCAAGGTATTCTGCAAAGAAGCCACACAACTCCCTTAGTGCATAGTGGAGCCAATAGCACACAAGCTTCATTTATGATAACTTACTACATTTGTCAGCAATCCTATCTCACTTGGAATTGTGCCATTGAGTTGAAAGTCTTGCAAAAGCAGGGTTGCCAGGTCTGTCAGCTCGCCAATATCAGCTGTTCAAGGCATAATTTCAAAACTGTCTTCAGCAACCAGAAGGCAAAGACAACGAAATAAACTACTGGCACTTACATGGGATTGATGTGAACTTCCCAGGTTTCCGACCGATTAGAGTTAGTGTGTCCAAATTGTGCAGGTTTCCATCTACCTCAGGGAGGAAAGATGTCATATCCAATAGAGGGCACTCTAAGATACTCACGGTCTTCAGGTTCGACAATTGAAGAATCTCAGTGGGTATTGACCCTGTGTTGGCAGAAAATAACCAAGTGAGTCAATAAGTCAAACATTCGGAGTGTTCGCAACCATCTCTTCAGAGGATCCTCACGTACCTGAGAAGTTTCCTGAACTAAATGACAGAGTTGTCAGGTTCCTTAGGTTGCCCAGTTCAGTAGGTAAAGTCCCAAAAAGCTCGCCACCTGAAATCCTTAGTTCTTCCAATCTTCGTAGCCGACCCAGTTCTGTTGCAAGCGTGCCAGACAAGTGTGTTGAGAGTAACTGAAAAACTTTCAGCTTTGCCATCAGCCCAACCTCTGTTGGTATATTTCCGTTTAGTTGGTAGTTCCCAAAAATTACAAGTGTTTCCAAGCTTTCACGAAGAAGCGTTATCTCTGGCGGCCATGTTCCATCCAAGTTGTTGGCATACCCAATTGCAAAGATAGGAGTTGCCCAGTGTCATCGCAAGCCGGCTCTCCTTTAAACCATTGTAGCTGTTCCCAGTTGCACTCATTGATGTCCCAATCCAGCCAGCCTTGATTCTTTACCCAATAGTCCCCCCGTGTTGAATAAAAAAATGTGGCCAATGCAAACCTTTGCTTCAGTCTCCATACTGGGAGATGTTGTGTATTGTTGGAGTTGTTGATATTGTTGCTTAGCCATTGATATGCCTTGGTCTGTGAAGACCTAGGATTTTCCATAGCCCTGAGGGTGTATTCAGGTAGATTGAGTATTTCCCGTAGCGATAATGGAGCATGTGCGATTGGAGCTATTGTCCCTGGATTCTCTTGTATTGGAATTAATCCATTTTGCTGGTTTGCCAACTCGGTTTGATTGCTTGATTTTGGAGCCAGAAGAAATGCCAAGAGGATATTAGAGACAATGGCAATGGCAACAATGGCTTCCAGGGAAAGGAATAAGAATAGTTTCTCCTTCCATAATCTTTTTGCCTTCGTTGTCATTGGCTCTGCAGTTGGAATCTCCCCATTTTCTGAGTCATCAACTAGGTCAGCAATAATAATACCATTATCGTGGTCTCTGTCACATTGAGATGTAGGCACCAATTCCAACCCCAGCACTTCAATGTCAGGAATAGTTGCAGTTGTAGGCATACTTCTTGGGAGATCAAACATTGGTCTGATCCCATCCACAGCATAGGCCCCAGGCTGCACTTGTGAGACCCTTCTTGCTCGAGACAATGCCGGTGAATTTAATGTTGGTATTGGCTGGATGTTTCTTGTAAGGGCATGGAGTGAGGAGCGATTTGAATTGATAATCTTGGGAAATGGGATTGGATGCTGATTTACCATCACCACCTCCATCTCTGTCTCTTCTATCGTCCCTTTCTTGCTGTTGTTGTTGAACATCTTGGCTCTTGTGTCTTGTTTGCTTGTGGTTTGAGAGGTTGCTTCTTTGGCTCTTTTTCTAAGCTAGCTAGGCAGAGCGGTGGCATCGGTAGTTTGGTCTTGGCGAGTGGAGGTTATTGATAGATAGTACACAAGTGTATATAGTAAAATGTTACTGTCACGGATTGTACTGTAGTTTGCGATACTTAGCAAATTCAAATATTGCCACCTAACTCCCGTGTGTCAGTTGGGGTCTTGTAGAAGCTTCGAAGACTTAGCGACGCACCTCTACGTACCCTCCTCACAATTTCGAAGAGGTACGTTCCGTAGAGGAAGTTCGTGTCAATAGAAGTAGCTACCATTCCAAGTACAAAACTATGAGGATCAACACTAGTCAAGTCTTTTCAAAGTGTTGCTAGATAAGAGTTTCTACCCCTACAATGAGCTAAGGGCTACCAGGTACAGCTTTGAGTGCAGGTATGTTTTGGTGGAAGCAGGAGAGGTCCAGCATCCCAGTTTCAGGTCCTTGAAATGTGTGGCAGTAAGTAGCTTGACACTCCCAGCTTGGAAAAACTCATCATGAGTGGAAATGCAAGCCCATGACTCCTGATATGAGCTTCATTCTTGATAGCATGGAGTGTTGGGGATACTACATAATATTGAGTGGTACAGTATTGTCTTGACATGTAGCCACCATGTTTGAAGAGGAAAAGCCTACAAGCAAGGAAAGGATGTTAAGCAATGCATTTACTGGAGAGTTAGAAGCAGGGCTCAGGCAACTTATGAGTATGACTCTCTTGGCATGATGCAGTGTTGACTTACTGGTCTGAATGGTTTGACAGGACCTTTCCAATGCCCATAATCTCCTTTAGGGTGATGACACTGATGAGTGAGGATTTTGTTACTGACATCATTACCTACATTCAGACAAGGGGAATTGTTCCTTACCCTCCAATCATGGATGGACCTGACTCCATTACTAGCTCTGAAAATTGAGAGAGGAGAAAATCTTGTTGGTGTTTGATATCAAGTAGTCAACCAGTAGTGAAAACAGTAACAACAATAGCCAAAAACTTACAAGATACAGTGTCAAACCAATCTGCCACAGTAGTTGCTTGCTCAGTGTGAATGGCATGAGTGCATAATTCTCCCATTGGGCAGCTAACATGAAACTCCTCTCTCTGTCTGCATCTTCCACAATAGTCTCTCTTGCATGTTGCAGCAACACCTTCCACAGAAACCACATGATCCTTTTTAAGGAAACCACATCTCTTGCAATACTTCCTGCTCTTAAACCGCTTCCTTGTTGGTCTTGGTGGAGCTGTTGCTGGAGGCACAGTCAAGGCAACTCGAAATGCAGCATTGGTTGTTAGATTTTCAATGACAGCAGCAGCAGCAGCAGCAGCAACAGCACCCATTTACCTCTGCATTTAGGACGGTTGGATCACCAAATGGAGTGGTCCCAGTGTTGGTGTATTGAGCTGGGTTTGTGTTGTGTATTCTTGGAGTTGGTAGTCCTTGCCTATTATCTCGCAAACTCTGATCTAGTTGCTCCCGGTCAGTGTCGTCTGAAGGAAGAACGCCCTGCAAGCTTTGGTGTTGTTGAAGCCGGTCATAGTGTTCTTGAAGAAGGACTCGACTCTTGTATCGCAGTTGTGTCACACCACCTTGGTCCCCTTGTGTACTCCACAACTTGAACCTCCTGGAAACTTCTCCATTCCAGTCTCGCTCAAAGGACTTGAAGCTTGTTGGGCCAGATTGGGCGTTCCTGTTGTACCGACTCACCCATTCCTCAAACAGTTCGGCCTCTGCATTGTCAATATCAGTGGCACCGGTGGTGCTGTCAGGTGCCCTAAAAGGAATCCACTCACACTTGTTGGTGAGACGCCGGAATGCCTCCAGTGTTGATTCATTACCATTTTCTGTTGGCAAAAGTCGTCTTAGCTCTTGTTCGATAAGATGCCGATTGGCTCTGTCCTGTCGTTGTGCAGCTTCATTTGCATTCCGAAGAGCGATTTCTTGCAGGGCTCGCCTATTCTCTGCTTGACTCGCTTGGTACTCTTCCTCCGTGCCAAAAACCTCGATATCTAAATCGTCTCCTAATTCTTCTCCAAGCACTCGCTCAATCTCTTGCTGGGACTGGGGAATTGCTTCTTCGTCATTGGCCACGGCTTCTTCTTCCCCATCATCGCCTGAGTTGTAGCCATCAGTAGCTCCATCCGTAGGATTAGACACTTCCTCCAATTCCGGTTCAGCGATGGCTTGATAGGAAAATCCCATGAATTCCTCGATGTCATTATCTGGTGTCTTTGGTGCAGCAAGGTCATAAGGGGCAACAGCAAATCCAATCTTCTCTGCGTATGCATTCAATAGCAGGAGCTTCTCCGTGTTAAGAATCTTATGGTCAGTAGCTCCTTGCCGGATTACTGATTTTCGATCGTTCCTTTCTTCAAAGAAACAGCACATAATTCTTTCGCCCCTTTGTAGTCCTGGAATGACACAGTGGGAAATCGCGATGTTGGAAGTGTGAGTGGAATAAGCAGCAAGTTGAAGAGTGATGTTAGACTGACTCATCTTACCAATGTGAGTCGCCAACAACAACAAAGCGAGATCCAAGTTGTCACGCTCATTGGTATTGGTACCCCTGGCAACATAAGTGACATCGGTGACAGGATTTCGCCGGAACAACTGCACCAAGTTGTTGGGTGGGTCGGACAAACAGCCACTGTCGACATGATGCATCTGCTTACGGACAATGTCAGTCAATTTCCACTGTTTCATAAACAGCTTCGGCCTTGGTTGGTTGCCTGCTGGTTGAGTAGCCAAAATCCGGTAGGTTTCTGTGTCCTTGGTTTGGATGTAATTAATGACTGCTTCCACATTGCTTCGAAGTGTTGCCGCATCAGGAATCATTGAGTTTGCTTCCTTCAACACCTCCTTAACCGTAGGCTCCCTTTTCAGCTTGTCTTGGAGCTTCTCCTTGGCTCTGTCGAATTCTTCAGGGGTAACAACAAATAACGCACGGGACATGAGACCACGGAATATTCCAGCTTGTACGGAAGAGCAGTCCACTAACAATTCATTCCAGCGCTTCAACCAGTGAAAGGGATCAAGCTTGATTAGTGCATGAGGGTAGACAGACTTCAAAATGTTCCTCACGTTGCAACAGTTGTCGACATAAACAACTTTGACGGCATTGGCAACAGGTCCAAAAGGATTCCCTTTCGCGGCATGAGCATTCCTGTTCAGTCTGTTTCGCAAGAGGATGAGGTCTTCCTTGATTTCGCTGAATGATTCAGAGCTCCTCAATGCTTTCCAAAAAACTGTCAGGCCATCCTCATTTGAATGTACATGCATTGGAATGGCTGGAAACTGCATCCCTGTTTTGTCCACACTCTGATTTTGGAAGCCAGCTTGTAGTTGAAATCGATCTTCAACAATGAGGCTGTCAATCCCCGCATCTTCTGCTCCTGGAATGCTTTTCTATGCCGGAACACGCTTGTCACCAGACCATCAATGCGGTATTTGGAGAGGACTCGTCCATTATATCCCATCTTGTCACTGAAAGCTGAAAAGGGAACCAGTTCCGACTCCTCCTCTGCTGTCTGGCCAGCTTCAGCCTCTGCCGATTCCTCTTCCATTTCGTTTTCCCTTTCGTATTGCACAAGGGCGTCCACAGATTCATTGTACCGAGCGATGCAAGATTCAATTTCAGCTTTTCTCGCATCTGCCACTGCTCTCAGGTTTTTGTAGTGGTTGTCAACAATTTGCTTCCAGCTCTTCAACGGTTTGATGTTCTTGTACTCTTTTGGATTTGCTGCCAGGAGCTCGAAGCAGGTGTCAATCCCATTATCCAACAACCTGCGCAGCTTGGTGCCTCCGAGTCCCTTCAGGAAACTCTTGCTACCAAAATTATTCCTGTTATCTTTCGAGCGAAGCATGGACCGGAATGTCCAGTCAGCGGCAGCCTTGGATTTGGCTAAGTCATACCTTCCCCGTGCTGATCGTACAGCCGCCATTGCCTTCAGCTGGTTGTTTTTCAATTTCTGGTGCTCCGTCGTGGTTGTGTTGGCAGCAGGAAGCAACTCCGGAAGTGTCTTCTGCTTTTTCTTTGGGCGGATTTTGTCCAATCCTATGGCTGTAAGATAGAGCTGGTGATCTTCATAATAAGCAATGTTGGCCATTCGAACCAGTTTCTTGGCAATTGTAGAAGTAGATTCTTTGTACGAACTTTCCACGATGAGGCTATGGAGTTCATCATCCACAGCAAAACCATGTCCAAGGAAAAAGGTAAAGAACCCATAGTACAGGGAGGAATCCAACTGCATCGATTCCTTGTTGTATCCGGCAAACCTTCTGCCACATCGGGTGCACAGGTAGAGAACCGTGTCCAAGTAACGGATTCTTGATACGCCATAGAGCACTTTCGGACAATTCAACCAGCGGCATTTCTGCAGATCCACAGAATTCCTCTTCTTGCAATGGGGGCAGCAGGGAACGTGATTCGGCACGAGATGTGTGGCACCCATACGGCCAGCGGCTTGATATAAAACTGTTCGACGGTGCTCTTCTTTCCACGTTGGTCCAACAACAAGCTGTTGAATCGACCTCCCTTAGTTGGAACTACACGGGTCCAATCGCGTGGAGGTTGGAAGAATCCTTTTGGATCGTTGTTAATAGCATCTCTTGTTCTCACCACAAACTTCCATTGCGCCTCTGATATCTGCTTTGGTTTGCGTCGAGTGGCCATGGTGGAAAATGAACTCTTACTCCGGTGTAATACACTTTCGATAGCATTGGATTGGTTTGGTTCCGATTGTACGTTACGCCTAGGGTTAGGGGATCGAAATTTCGATTGAATGATCGAAATTTCGATTGCTAAATAAAGAAATTTGGGATTGGTGGGAGGCTGTGCTTTTCGAAGTACACTTTAAGCTAAGAAAACGACACTAAAGAAGGCGGTGGATATAGAGGTGGGAATGCGAAATATTCCACGTGGAGGCGTATGCCGATAGAAGAAAGTATTCTATTGACATTTAGACGCCAACCTCCTCCCCCCCTTCTTTTTTCTTCTTGGCCGAGACCAACTCACACCAAGACCGGTAGTTTCTTACTTTGGTGCATGGTTTCGACCGAGACTGTGCAGTACAGTCGTACTACTACATCGTACAGGCAGCTTCGCTTTTACTAATTCAAACGCGCGCCGAGCTTTTCTTTGCACTTCTGCAGGACCTTTCGTAGAAGTGTACCAAAAAGAGCGGCACGCGTTTGAATCAATAAAATCGAAGCTGCTTGTACTGCTACATACATGTACTGTTCCGCATTGCACCGCCACCTATACTCCCGTCACAACTCCATCAAGGCATATGCACCAGAACCCCGGTTCAAGGTCGAACCATTTAAATCAAATCTATAAAAATGAGGTCAAATTGCGACCTCGGATGACAACATGGGGCGAGCAAAGATCGGCGCATAACAAATATTTTAGCTTGACTGAAATTACGGCTTTTAATTGGTTCTTTTTCCGTGATTGAATGCGAGCTGGTTGGAGTATCGAACGGCGAGCCCCAAATCGTGACGCAAAGACGCCACCATTTGGGAATCCGTCAACGATGATTGGATGCAACCGATCGAGGAGTTGTAGCTACAGATCCTGTGGCGTGTGAGGGATACGAACCAGTCTGTGTTTTGACGTCGCAAACATCAACAAGATTGTTGCCGTTATTCTTTCATCTTCCTACGTGGTGGCAAAAGGCTGTTGCCAGGGGTATCAGAGGCAGTGTCAACTCACTTTCTGAAAAGCAACGCACTTTAACTTCATCCATTGCAACTTTCTCATTGCCAATACAATACTACTGGTAGTATCCTCGTGTTTTACAAAGTCAATAGAAGTCACTGCAAATAATCAAGACATCAAGACATATCTTCCACTATGCTTCGCAGTACGGTCGGCCTCTCGAGTCCCAACTCGAAAATGTTGGAGACATTGCTTCAGAATCGCTTGGGATTAAAGTACATGCAATCTCGCAAGTTGGTGGCGAGTGGACGAGAGAAATTGGGAATGGAGAAAAGCACACCGTGGACACCGGAATTGGAAGCCGAATGCCTGAGGATCTACGAAGCCGAACACGGACCCATTCAACCTAAAGATTATTCCACGCCAGCTCCAAAGGCGGTCGTAACACCGGTCAAGTCTCCCACCACGGTCGTCAAGCCACCCATGGTGTCGACGCCACCACCAGTTGCCAAGGAAGAAACACGAGAGCCCGAAGAGGAACCCGTTCAGGAAGAAGAACCCGTTCCTGAGGAGGAACCCGTTCAGGAAGAAGAACCCGTGCAAGAAGAGGAGCCAGTTCCTGAGGAAGAGCCTGTGAAAGAGGAAGAAGCCGCTCCTGAACCGGAAAAGGAGGAGGAAGTCGTGGCTCCTGCTCCTTCTGTGGATAGCGACGATGATGATGACGACGACGATGATGACTCGGAGGCATCCTAAGGGATTCCACTAGACTAGACTGGACGTGCCTGGAAGACAATCAGGAGGTTGGCTGCAGTCAGCCAGCCAGCCAGCCAGCCAGAAAACGTTTCATTTGACAAATAAATCAAATCATGATCAAGCAAGCTAAGAAAACAAAACAAAAAAGGAAAAAAAGGCAGGGGCTACCAATACAATGGGGTCGCGTCATAATACGTTTACATGGAGTACGTACACATGCAACAAATTAAAATAAACACGGATACCTACAATGGCGTAACGGGTGGTACAGTGAGAGCCGTGCCCGATTAATAATCTGGGGACCACCATCGAGGAATAGCCAGTGGTGGGACTGCTGTGGTGTCGTTTTGCTGTTGGGGCCAACTGTTGGAGGAAATCCAGTGCGCGGGGGGCCAGCCTTGTGGAAATCCAGTGCAGGGTCAGCAATTGTGAAATTTCCTGTGTTCGATCTCATCAGTCTTAGTCCAAAGTCCAGGGCTGGTTGGAGCTGGCCGTTGTAGACGTTGTAGTGCGGGAGGCAACAGTTGTGGATCCCCTGGTGATGGTCCAGCCGTGGTGGAAATCCCGTGCTGGGGCTAGCCCTTGTAGGCATTACAGGCAGTGCTGAGGCCAACTGTTGCTTGTGGCGTCTTTTGGTGCTGGGGGTAGTTGCTGTTGCTGGGGAAGCACTTGTATAGGAGCACCTTTTTTTGGAGTACGCAAGCTGATCAAATCCTTCATCAGCCAGCAGACAAATGGCAGCCAATGTCGTGTTGAAAGAACGAAGCAGAATTTGCAAAGGATGCATGCGTTTTAAAGCAATCGCAGTTCCATGATCTCCAACCAGGTTGGCTGTAGCATGCCCACCGTATGTGCCTTCGTCGCCGTCTGCGCCAGTTAGTTGGCTAGCTAGCTGAGTTTTCACCGACGACATCAGTGCTACTTTGTAAGAGAATGGTTCAGTTGACCGCTTTCTCCTACTTATGCAGATGCATGAGCTCTTATTTGTCTTCTTATGGAACTAAACTAAAGGTGCTTGTGTTATTGTTTTTCATAGCTGGATTTGCAATGTTACAATTCCAACAAGAGACAGAGAGAGAGAGTTCGAGAGTGAGAGGTGTCTAAAATTGGAACAGTTGTTGTGACTCTCTAGAGGGAACCTCTAGTCCCAATCATCGCCCCATCCTTCATCCACCGCGATGTCTTCATCCAGTTCCAGCTTGGTTGCCGGGGGTGCCGCGTCGTCCACCTTGACACCAGTCGAAATGGAGTCTGGTGTGGAAGGATCTGTTTGCTTGGTCGCTAGTAGCTCTGCCTCCTTTTGCTGGAGCGCTTGTTCCGCTTGCGCCAATGCCGCTGTCGTTGCCTCGAACTTGGCCTCCAAGGAAATTTCCTTCTGCTGTGCCGTCACTAATTCTTGCGTGACGGTTGCCAACTGCGCTTCCATAGCCTTGTTGTTGTTCCGTGCGACAGTCAGCTCGCCTTCCAACATGGTCATTTGTTCTGCCAACTGGGGTATTTTGTCTCCGTGTTCCTTCACTTTGGCGTTGCTGCTCTCCAGCGTGGCGGTGAGCTCTTGGATTTGTTGCTCCATCTTGGCCATTTCTTCTGGACTATTATTACCGGTAGGCTGCTGCTGTCCTCCTCCAAATACCGTGACTTGTAGTTTCGCCAATTGCTCCGGTGCCAATGCTCGTAACTTCTTTTCCAACGACGCCATGAGATTGTCATTGGTTCCACGTTCCACACTCTCGTCATTGACACTGGCTTTGAGTGCGGCCAATTCGGCATCCTTTTCAAACAATTCCAACTTTAATTTTTCCACCTCGGACGAGTTGTGTGCGTCGGCCGCATCTCCACCCTGTAGTTTGAGCTGTAGCGACTTGATTTCTTCGGCTTGCATGTGCACCGTTTGTTGAATCTGATCCCGCTCTTCAATCGCTTGTTTGAGTTGTTCCTTGAGATCTTCCGCCACCTTGTCGGTGAATTCAATTTGTCCCGTGGTAACCACACCATCTTCATCTTGGAAATCGTCGTCGTCGTCGTCATCGTCGTCCCAACCAAGTTCTTCTTCTTCGTCTTCGTCTTTTTGCAAATCCGTATCGTCTCCACTTTCATCGACGGCCGTATTCATGACAAAGGGAGGACGTCCTTTGGCGCCAAAAAAGTTGATTCCATCATCCTCGTTGTTGGTCGAGGGTGGAGCAATAGTATTGGTCACAGCCGCGACAGCACCACCCACGAAATTGGCGACACTGGTGACACCGGCTTCAATGGCGGCTTCTCGCTCCCGTGCCGTCTCTTCTTGGAGTTGTCGCGCCATGCGGTCTTCATTGCATCGATACAAGTAGCGTTTCCAAAATTCTTCGTAGGACACTTGGGTGGGACAGAGGGTTTCGAATTGGGTTTGGACCGTGTCGGGATGCGCTTCCAGAATTTGAGCAATTTCCGTCGTGTGATTATTCACGTCAAAATCCTTGAGGAATTCTTGTAACGCAGTTTGATCGTCTTCCTCCGCCAAATCTTCCGTGTACGTGCCGGGATGACTTCGCAGCAGTGTCATGATTTCCCGGAGTTCGCGATGATTCGTTGGAGGCGTTGCGTCCTTTGGTGTAGTAGTCGTATTGTCTTGTTCTTCTTCTGGCGTCTCATCGTCGTCCATGCCGGCATCCAGTTTCGTCAACACATTCGATGTGTCTTCCGTCACCGTCGTCATGAACTCCTGAAAGTCAGAGCGTAAAGCGTTCCACATCTTGATTGATTTATTGGGGAGAAGTTATTACTGGCGATTCTGTAGATATTGACCTTCTTGTCTCGATTGATTGATTGATTGATGTGTGATGGCTGGATGGACTCGCTGCGGGGATCTCTCCGATGTGCGGTTGAGTTTGCTGGAGGTGAGAACTAACAGCTAGCCAAGGTCTGCCAACAAGTAACTTAGCTAATGGGTCGCGCTGGGATAGCGTAGCAACTTGCAGGTCTGATTGAAGGCAAGGGTCGTCAAGCAACAAGCAACAACACACAAACAATCATCAAGAGTACCAGTTCAGAGTATACCAGTAGCGAGAATATTTGGCGATGGTGTTCTAATAAGAAAGGAGTCGAGTCTCGAAAAAGAAGGGAAGGCGGACCAAAAGTTCTCAGACGTTATTCTAAGGTTAATGCTACCGTACACCATCCCTTCGAATATACGAATGAAGCGAATCGAATCTCAGCCGAATCTTCAATCGAATTGGGGCTTGTGTTTACCAAAGGGGCTTGTTTTTACGGTTGAGTTAGAGCCACTTTACCCCCCCCCACTTTTTGATTCTGCTGATGGTCTTCTTGGTGCTGAACCTGAGGCACTCGACAAACATCTCTCCCCTCTGCTCACTGCAAAGTGGTCCCACCCATACTTGGTGGTGCGTGGCTACATTTTAAAAATGCTTAGCTCCAACTTGCGTGCCCTACCGTACTCTGCCCAGCTTAGCCTTCTTTTGGTCCTTACTAGTAGCGCTCTATTCTCCATTTATTTAGTTAGTTCCCAAAGGTTTAGAGTAGATCTATTATCTATGGAAGCCAGAAATGGCCGGGTTTAAGCAAAGAAAAGTCGAAATTTAGGACTTGCTGAAGGTTCCATGGGATCAGGGGCGAGAAAGTGAGGACCATTACGGGGGCCAAAGGGCGCGGCTTTGCGGGATCCACAGAGACACAAATGCGTTAGACTAGCTATTAGTTGCAAGATATGCCAACGTCCACACAGAATCCGATAGCAGTAGCATGGAAGGCAACCGTGCACATGGCTCCCCGTGGCCTTTTCATAAAGTTACTGCATTTCAACCACTTACTTTGTTTCTTGCGGCCTTCTCCTTGCAAGGTCCTCGGCGACTACCAGGCCGGAGAGGTATCAAATCCCAAGCAATCAAGAAGGCCAAAACAATAATAATGCCCAAAGGTTCCAAAAGAAAGGAAAAACCTTTACACTCCACAATTTCGGTGGTGGGCCCCGAGTACTTTCAGCTCCTGCAAGGACAACTCTTTGTGGGGAACAATACAAAACAAGTGGCCCTCATTTTGTGTGGTGAGAGTCACTACGATGGGATCGATGTCACACGCAGTGGCGGCCGGTTTGCGCCACGAGAGGGATGGGTACAAATAGGTAACAACAACAACAACAACAATGATCTGCCAATACTAATAATGGAGGAACCGTGTGCCTGTCGGATTCTTCAGCAGACCAAAAAGCTCCTACCTGTGGGCAAGGCACAAGAATGGGCCAAAGCAAAAGTAGAAGAGGATGACCTGCAAGGAGAACTTGTCTTGGCATGGATTGAAACAGACGACAGTGGGAGAAAAGGGAGTAGTCGAGGCAAGGGGTATCTGTTGGAACTAGTGACGGAAGAAGAGCTACAAGAGGATGAGGAAGAAGACATGGATCACTGGCTTCATTCTGGCACTACTACTACATGTACCACTGAACAGTATCCACAGGAAATTCAAAACTGGGTACTCTCCTCTGGGGCGGAGCAAGGACCACGACCCAGCAAGATGTTTGAGTGGGGCGACTTGGACCCGGAGACACATGCCATCAACAAACGACGTCTCACTCAAGAAGTAGTCTCTGTGGAGGAACTGGATGCATTGGTCAACAAACGAAAACAAGATCGCAAACGGCAAAATATCTGGACATTTGATGATTGGTTTGCTCATATTCGAAAAGATACCAGTTGCAATGTTCATTTGGTGGTAGAGGCATCTGTTCCACCGTGGGAAGTTGAGCTTCATCGACCACCCAACACACCAGAAGGAAAGGAACTGGCAATGCTGCCACTTGCTGCTGATTGTTATCGTTGTGTCTCGGAGGATTCTGACTGCTCCTCGGAAGATGACCATGACGCCTCCTCGGATGGGATTGGGACCTACTTGGACTACGTGTATCGACGGTTCATTGGGGAAATGGTACAGGAACAACAACAACAAGGGGCTGGTACAGACGCAGACAATATCCAGACCACTTGGTGTCACTGTATAGATGTGCGCGATTTGGGATCGCAAGAGGCTTGTCATGCCGACGTTACCAAGAACAGATGGAAATCTCTCCTTACTCCACAAGAAAGGACAAGTATTCTTCCAGACAACAATGATACCTCAGAGGACAGTAGTTGCGACTTTCCACGAAATGACAACAAACTACCGTTCCGCGCTGAAAGGGAGTTGAATATGGAACAACAGAGCTTTGAGGAAAAACTGAAAGCGGGCAAACTGGAGCCTTCGTCGGACGAAGAACCAGAACAACATGACCATTCCAATCTGGAGATCAGCTATCCTTCCTTTGAGGCTTTCTTTGGTCAGAACACTGACGTTCTTTACTATGCGCCACACGTGCGATTGTCTTATTCACCTTTTTTGGCCAAGGTCGTTCGATCCCTATCGAATTGGGAACAGTTCTTTACGCAGCTCTTCCTGACTGGAACAATCAGCGAGGCCTTGACGTTTCTTGACCTACAGGGTCACATGGATCATGTGTACATTCGAAGCCCAATCCTCAAAGACTGGGATCCAGCGTCCAACTCGTATATCTGGAAAGAGAGGCCCGAATCAGACGAGTATATCATGCCATTTCTTCCCTGTGCCTTTCATCTCCAAGCAAAGGGCAGCGATCGTCGTTCGCGCACGTGGTCATCTGCACTATACAGCAATCTGCACTCCTCGGAAAGCTTTGAACACCAACAATTCGCGAAAAGTGTCCTCCAATGGACTATGCGAAACATTCAACACCTCTCCAAGGACCCCAAGCGAAACGACGACCCCGAGTTTGGCGGGGAGTGGTTTTTGGCCTATTTGCGAGCGGCTCATAGAGAGATCTACGAAGACATGGATCACGGCGATGCTGGTGAGCTACTGAAGCGAAAGAACGTCCCGAGCTTTTCAGGACCCAACAAGCACAGAATCGGGGACATTCAGGTCCCCAGCTGCGAGTCTTCGTTTGAAGAGATTGTGAAACGATTCGAGGCGACTCCTTCCACACCTCTTCTCACAGGCCCGCCTCATCCTATTGATAGCCGAACAGAGGTGTTGGCCAAGATTCTTATCGACATTTGGGTGCACCAGCTGATCGACCACTGTTCGGTTCTCAAAATTGGCAACATTGTAGCCCAGAACTCTCCCGACAACAAGATTGTATTTGTCATTTACACGGGCGTCGCTCACACAAGAGCTGTCGCAGACTACTTTTGTACCCATGCCAAGTTCCAAAAGAAGGGCTTTTATGGCAAGGTGAACTGGGAAGACGATGAAAACCGCAAGATTCAGCTTCCCTCCAAGCTTTGGAACGTCTCAGAACTCTTCCAGGCAGGGTAAGGTTGGTTGACCAACACCCCTCGAGCTATCTAGAACGTGGAGCGCCATCGCAAAGTTACTGTCGCAAGATTGCTCTCACCTACGTACTTACGAGAGACAGGTTGTGTAGGACTCCACCCTATCAGCTGTTTTGGTGGAGTACGGTGCAGAAAAGTGGAGATCAGATCACGCTGTCACTTTTCTTACCTCGTGACTATTGCAAAATGGCTCATTACTGCAAGCCAATGTTTCGATGTTACAGCGAAGCATGAAAAGCTGCTCGACACGTACCTGCTGTGCACTTCGCCCCATTTCCAGAAGTAACGTTCATCATCTTGTCGAGTTTTAAAAAGCAACGCCACGTGTCAAAGACTAGACTCTAGACTCCGAACAACGCTTCTCACAATCTACACTAATTAGTCTGCCAATCTACACTTTTCGAACTGCGGACTCCTCTAACACAGGAGAACTCAGAACATTTTGTTCTCCAAGTTAGTTGCGTACCTAAAAGACAGCCTCGCCCCGATCGACAGTCCTGGGGCCAAGAAGCTGCAGCTCTTCAAGCTAGTTGAGCCAGTTATCAGTAGAATAGAGTAATTCGAGTAGACTTATGCACATGTATTTGCATTGCCACAAGTATGCCTCGAGAAGAAGAAGCTCCGGGAGCGAATCGAATCAATTTCAACCGAACGGATGATTCGATTCGATTCAATCCCTACCGAGGGTACCGTTGGTTGTGGGTTCGGCTATGCTTGCCTTGTTCGATTGAAAGGGGGTTTCGAGTACGGTGGGGAGGTTCGATTGCTGGCATAGGCCGGAACTCCGATTGGTTGATTCGTCCTTTTCAAAGTTCTGTTTGGATCTACGTAACGTGATTGTTGTACCTACACGAGAGAAATGCAGAAACACCAGCTATGGTACCGTACCTAGTCTTGGTCGGCGTCCCCAGTCTTGTTCCCGTCAACTCGATCGCTCTCCAAACTTACACGGCCTTCCGCTGCAACTTGGGCTTCAACTTCTTCTTCGTTCTCCACCTGTACGTGCGCCTCGACTGCTGGACTCTCACACTTGTTGTCTTCGACTTGTTGGCACTCCACTCCGTGCGAATCGGCTGCTTGGATCTCACCTTTTGTTTCTACAGCCCCTCGGCTCTCCTCATCGCTGACGATATCAAGGACCTGATTCTCCCCGCCCTCGACTTCTTGTGTAGCTAGTTGGCATTCGTCACTTGGGTCGTTTTCCGTCCCATTGAGTGTCACAGGCCCCCCTCCGATCGACACACCAATGCCACGACGATTCGCAAAGTTTAGAAACCCCTACACAAGTGATTTCATGGCTTCCTCCTGCGCTTGTTTGGCCTCCAACTCGTCATCATCATATCCAACAATTTCCCGGATACTTCGTTCGACCTCATACTCGTTTTCAGCAGCATCATAGTCGCGCTGTGAGTACAGCACATTGCCAATCTGGTGGTGAGATCGAGCCGTAGCACGGTGCTCTGAGCCAACGACAAGTTCCCGGATGGCCAATGCCTTGCGGTAAGAAATCAAAGCACCATCATAGTCGTCCCTCACCCGGTAAAGATGATGTCCAAGAAGGTCATGAGCATTGGCTGTATCAGCGTGGTTCTCTCCACGATCTTTCCGGTTAATTGCCAAAACCTTTTGCAGGGCAATGAAAGCAATATGGTGTTCTTCCTTCTCTTCCAGTTCAGCGGCAAACTCTGCCAATGCCCTAGCAGTCTCCACGTTATCAGGGGGGGACGGCAAAGCTTTGATGTGCTCAGCAACTCGAATTCTGCCTTCACTTTCATACTCGGCCACGGCAGCCTCCGTATCATTTTGCGCAAACAGCACATCTCCAATGTATCGATGTGAACTTGCTGTTTCTAGATGCTCCAAACCAAGCACAGATTCGCGAATTGCCAAGGACTTTCGGAAGGCACTCATAGCTGCAACACAGTCGTTTCTCACATGGAAGAGATGATGTCCAATAAGGTCATAGGCACCGGCTGTGTTGGCATGGTGCTCGCCAAACTCAGAGAGGTAGATTCCCAGAACCTTTTTCAAGGCGATGAGAGCAGCACCGGGCTCATTGTTTTCCTGCGAGTCAAACGCAAACGCTGTCAAGGCCTCCGCTGTTGCCGCATTATCATTGCCGTACTCGGCGCTTTCCATGCACTCCACCACTCGACTGAGGACCTCAACGCTGCTCCTTGAGGTTTGCGAATCAGAGTGTTCTTCGCCATGCAAGGCAGTCCGAATTGCAAGCGCCTTCCTGTTGTGTCGCAAGGCTCCATCCAGGTCGATGACATCTTGAGACTGCATGGCCGCGGCGAGGAGGTGGTGGCTCGTCGCAGTTTCTTCGTGCTCTTCTCCAAACACTGACACGTAACTGGCCAGTGCTCGTTCATACTGAATTCGTGCGTTGTTGTATTCGCCGTTGCAAAAAAGGCTGGTGCCAAGCAGACGGTAGGCGACTGCAGTGGTGGCGTTGTCTTTCCCAAGCGTCTTCTCATGAATGACTATACCCTTTCGAAACTCGCTCAGGGCTGCGTCGTGGTCTCCCAACAACTGTAGAGCAACACCAATGTTTGTGTGGGATATTCCCAAATCGGAGCTCACTGGGTCCAGCGCTACTTGCCGTATTGCTAAAGCACTTCTGTACTCTTCCATAGCAGCCGAATGCTTCTCTTGCAGCATCAAGACTCCAGCGATTTCATCGTGTGTGACAGCAAGGCGAGGATGGTCATCACCTCGTACTGACTGCTCAATTTCCAAAGAGCGCCGAAATCTTTTCAAGGCTTCTTCGTAGTCTTGATTGGCAACCAGTGCTCGTCCCAGTTTTAAGCAAGTGTCCGCATTTCCATGGTAGTTGAGACCGAATGCTGTCTCTTGGACCCGCAAAGCCATTTCCCATCTTTCAAAGGCGCCGTCAGTGTCTCCCTTTTCGGCAAGCAGATCAGCAACTCTGATGTAGGTTGTCGCCGTACTCGGATGATCCTCACCAAGAACAAGTTCTTCGATGGCCAGCGCCTTGTTGAACCATTGCATTGCATTATCTACTTCGCCACGTGCCTCACAAAGACTGCCCAGATTGACGTAGTACGCAGCAATGGTCGGATCATTGTCCCCAAGAGTCGATTCCGCCATCTCAAGAGCTTTCGAGAACGCCTCAAAGGCCCCATCAAGTTCTCCTTTTTGGTGCAAGGCCAGACCAAGATTGTTGTAGGACTTGGACATATCCGGATCCAGTCCATCGTTTTGCTCTTCTTTGCTTAGCTCTATGGACCTTTCGAATTCCAACAAAGCTCCATCGTAATCCTCTTGTTGCATCAAGATATGGCCGATACAGTCGTGTGCGGCTGAAGTTTCTCGCAGCGCCAGAGACTTGCGACATGCCACTAATGCATTTTCGTGGTCTCCCTTTTCTTGCAGGGCCATGCCAATGTTGACGTACACGACACCCGTGTCGGGGTGGTTTTCGCCTAGCACGGCTTGATGGATGGACAAGTTCTTTTCAAATGCAGCCAAGGCGCCATCCACTTCACCAAGTCGCATCAGGAAAAGACCAATTTGAAAATGAGCAACAGAAAGGGCCAATTGGTTTTCTTTCCACGGATCCTCTGTTGGGGCTTGGTTTTCCTTGTCTTCGTCCGTTACAACATCGTGACCGTCCGCATTGTTCTCGCCATTTTCCAATGTTGAGGCTGCAATGTCTTCAATGAGGTCATTTAGAACCTGTCGTACCCATTCCCGCAAGAGCTCGTTGACCCTCTGGTTCAGTTTGGCGAAACCTCCTCGTCTCCATCTGACAAGGCGCAAGATGGTTTCCCTATCCGATTCCACAGAGGCTTTGGCATTTTCGATTCTAGTCTTGGCCAATACTTGATTGAGACCATCGACGCCATCTCCGTCTACATCCAAAACGGCTTGAACCAGTGCCTCCTTTTCTCTGGGGGGCATCAAGATAGTCACCTTGCACCTCTCTTGACGGGCCTTCTTTTGATGGGCTGTACTGAATTCATATATACACCATATTCTGTTCAGTTGGAAGATAGTAGAGGACCACGTGAGAGCGTAAGGATCGCAGTAGCATTTGAAAAAGCTTGTCTTTGCTCCTCACGTACCTCGTGAGATAGTACGGATCATTCCATGGCGCCATCATGGCAAGCATGTGTCCAATCCCGGTGACTCTGCAACCGAACTCTGCAAAGAAATCCACTTCCTTTTTGTTTTCCCTTGTCTTGAAGATTCCGGATCGTTCTTGCTTCGATTGTTCAATCACCCTATGCTGATTGACGCTGTCATGGAAGCAAAGGAGAATTAGGACAGCTCAATACAGCCATGACGACAACATATTTTGTACATCTATTCCATGGATCTTACCAGAGACAGCAAATCCAAACATAGGTTCGCTTGGGGTCTTGATCCGTTGTTTCACAGTATTCCACCAGAGTATCCACAATATCTCCAATGGCATAATTCCAGGTATAACTGAGCATTCGAGTTGCCAACCCAACGTTGTCCGGATCGTCTCCCACGCAATGTACGTAGGCTGCCCCCATCTTTTGGTCAATAGGGCACATCACATGGATCCCTTTGCGTCGAATGACACCCGGTTGATCTTCCTGGCGTAAGTCTTCAATCTGATATATGGTGGCATCCCGGTTGAGACCTGCTTCTTGGACTTCTTGCAGAAACTGAGTGGATAAGTAGTGCACACTCAATGCCTTGTTGTCCAGCTTTAACTCGTCTGGTTCATTGGTGTGGTCAGATCCTTCCTTCGTGTTGGTGAGAATAACAACGGGTATGATAATCAAGGCTCCTCCCAAAATGACAAGCATTGGATTCCAGAGGGAGCAAAAACATGCCAAAATCACGAGTATACCCCGTTGGTTCTCCCGTACAAGCTGAAACACACGTTCCTGCTTCGGTTTTTCCAGCCACCACCAAAAGGATACCCACACAGCCAGCCCTGTGAAGAACACTTGTGGATATTGCAGAGACAGGTACGCCAACAGAGCCAGCATTGCCAAACATGCTGTCACCGCCAGGGCCAAGACACCCAGCACCACCAATATGGTCTGTGCGATCGACTTGACCCATGATGGCTTCTCGCTGTCATTGTGGCCTCTAGTGGTAGTAAACCAAGTTGTAGAAGGCATCTTGTCTTGATCCTTGCCTACAGTATGCATATCGATGTTGGGTTGAGTGTGGCGATCGAGCCCAAAGGCCCCAGGTGAACTGGGTGTATCCAAATAATACTGTGTTTGAAATCTAGCTAGAAGCTTACGGAGTACAGTAGTAAGAAAGTCAGATAGTCTTCTATTAATATTGACATTGGCTTGTTTTGTTAGAAAGAAAACGATTACGACTGGTACTCCCTCATCCGGAACCTTTGTGCAGGTTTGGAGAGAATCAATCTCTTTAAACAACTATTTATCCAATTAAGGCAAGCAGAACGGATTTAAAGAAAGCTAATTTCGAGCCCTTTAAATCGATGTATATATTGATGTATAAGTTGTGCACTCATTAAGCCACCAAGTTACTTCAGGACCTCTGTGGAAACTCGAGTCGTGCTACTTTTCGTCTCCTAAATCCTTTTGATCGTCTCCTATTTAATGGATTTCGTCTCCTAAAAATAGGAGACGAAACGGATCGTCTCCTAAATCTTTTGTCTCCTCTTAAAACGTCTCCAATTTTCAACGGATCGTCTCCTATTCTCATCTGATCGTCTCCTAAGTGTATCATGTAAACTGTATGGTATCGTCTCTTAAATCTTTCGGATCATCTCCTATTTCGAAATTTTCGTCTCCTAATTGGAATGTCTCCTACTGAATCGTCTCCTAAATATAGGAGACGATTGCTTTCGTCTCTTAAATCATTTCGATCGTCTCCTATTCCTCGGTGTATCGTCTCTTAAGTATTTTGCCACGAATGACGTTTCCACAGAGGTCCAGTTGTAATCGTTCACGATCAGCAAAATAGAGCATTTGGATGAGAAAGCTCCAGTACGACTGTAGTGTGTAACTATAGCTCTCCCAGTTATTGATAGAGCTTTCTTATTACTTACTCGAGTATTATTGAGCTTGGAGTGTAGCCTTAAGCATGAAACCAGTACAGCAGAGAAACTGGCAAGTTCCAATAATTAAGATGATTGATAAAGAAAATTATAGGATTTAACAACTTCAACCCAACTTTAACTCGCCGTGTGTGAATGTGAAAGCACCAAGAAAATGCAGCGGACACGACTCAGCCCTAAGCAACCGCGCATGGCTCTTGTTATTACGGTATCCTTTTGTAGCACAGCTGTAGAGAGCAAGCTTATGTTGCAGATAGCAGAATTAACCTTTGCACAACGAAAACACGAAGAACAAGCTGAGGAAGCAAAGGACTAAATGAAAAAGAAGACATGAATAATAATAAGACACAGGGCCATCATGGCAGCGGTCAACAACAACAACAAGCCGTCAACTCCTTTGATGCCTTGGGAAAGCCAGAGAGGGAGGTGGTGATTGGAAATCAGCATCTAATCCCATTTCCTGATAGAACTGCTCTTGATGTCTCCTCACCCCTGACCCTCAGATATGTTATCTGTGGCATTCCAATACCAACATTATCTGCACCAGCAATTTCTCAAGACAGCAGACCTGGGGCCTATTCTGTGGCTGGGATTGGACCAATGCTCCCGCACCCCACAAATAGGCCATTGGCTGGAAGGATTCCTGATGTGGAAGAGTCGGGACTGGAATTGGTGCCTACATCTCAACAAGACAGAGATCGTGATGATGGCCTTATTCATGCTGACCCAATTGATGACTCAGAAAACGGGAAGATTCCAACAGCAGAGCCGATAACAACAAGGGCAAGAAGATTATGGAAGAAGAAACTGTTCTTGTTCCTCTCGCTTGAAACAATGGTCGCCCAAGTGATTGTTTTAATAGTTCTTGTGGCATTTCTTCTTTCTCGAAAATCAAGCAATCAAACTCAGCCATCAAAACAGCAAAATGGAGTGATTCCAATACAAGAACATCCAGCGACAATGCCTTCAATCACACAAGCACCAATATCACTATGGGAAAGACTAAGTCTACCTGAATACACCATCAGGGCTATGGAAAATCCTAGGTCTCCACAGACCAAGGCATATCAATGGCTCAGCAACAATATCAACAAATCCAACAATACACAACATCTCCCAGTATGGAGACTAAAGCAAAGGTTTGCACTGGCCACATTTTATTATTCCACACGGGGGGACCATTGGGTAAAAAATCAAGGCTGGCTGGATTGGGACACCAATGAGTGCAACTGGGCACAAATTCATCCGGTCCCAAAAACTCGTTGTGGTGAGAATGGGCAACTCCTTTCATTCAAGTTTGGGTCTGCCAACAACTTGGACGGAACAATACCACCAGAAATATCCCTGCTTAGTGAAAGCATGGAAAAACTTTCATTATCTCGGAACTTCCAGCTCAAAGGAAACATACCAACCGAGGTTGGGCTTTTGACAAGGCTGACAATCTTGACGTTTAGCATAACACATTTGTCTGGCACACTACCAACAGAACTGGGTCAGCTACTAAGCTTGGACGAACTAATGATCTCAGGTAGCGAATTTGTTGGGACTTTACCTACTGAGCTGGGCAACCTAAGCAACCTGACAGCTCTGGGAATTCAGTGGGCGGACTTTTCTGGTAATCAATCGAGGTTACAAAATCAGTGCCGAAATTCCACAATTTGACTTATTGACTCACTTCATTTTTTCTGCCTACACAGGGTCAATCCCCTCTGAGATTCTTGGATTGTCTAACCTGCAGACCATGTTTTTCTTCGAATGCCCTTTGTTGGATACAGCATCTTTCCTCCCTCAGGTAGTTGGAAACCTGCACAATTTGGAGCTGCTAGGTCTATCTGGTCGGAAAACTGGGGAGTTCACATCAATCCCATGTAAGTGCCAATAAATCTTTTCTTTGTCTTAGGCTTCTGGGAGCTGAACAATTTTGAAATTTTGCTTTGACAGCTGAAATTGGCAAGCTGACCAACCTGGCAACCCTGATTTTGAAAGACTTCCAACTTAATGGCCCCCTGCCAAGTGAGCTTGCAATGTTGACAAATTTAGTAAGCCATGAATGAGCCTTGTGTTGTAATTGTGCATGTATGCACTAAGGAACCTTTTTTTTTGCAGAATTACTTGGACTTGCAAAGGAACTCCATCACTGGCACTCTACCACAAGAGTTATCCAAGATGTCCCGTGAGTTGCCACATCATACCAAATGTACAGAATCCATCTCATGCTCACCCTTTTCCATCTGTCTGCTCTATCTCCAGAGCTGGGAATACTGCTCATGAGTTCCAACCAATTAGAAGGCAGACCGTTAGAACAAGATGTGCTTCCCCAACTCACCCAGCTACAGTGGTTGCATATTGATCATAACCTTTTCTCAGGCTCTATTGCAACAGAGATTGGTTTGATGTCTAGTCTTGAGAAGCTTGAACTGCAAAATACAAACCTATCTGGGACCCTTCCCACGGAACTACATTTGTTGGAGAACTTGACCAGCTTGGTTTTGATGAACGCATCCTTATCTGGGAGCACCCCTGATGGATTATGTGGTGTCATACTTTCCCCACATGAAATGAAATTTTTTGGTGGGAAGAGCTATGCTGTTCCAACGACGAACCTGTCAGCCTGCTATGGAACTAGTCTATGCGGCTGTACATGTGAGAACTGCCCAAAAGCATGACATAATTTGGTTTGACAATTACTTTCCAGCCATGAAACAACAATACTGTATGTTGTGTTTCTCCCAGGAACCCCTTTCTAGCTTTGGGCTAGCCCACAACTGGATTTCCAACCATATTTGGCCCCATCACTGCATGCAAGGCATATAATGGTTTGAGGTGGGTGGGCGCAATTTAAGTCGACAGGCATGATGATTGATCTGACACTACCTATGACAGCTAGCTAGCAAGTAGAGTAGCCAGCCAATCTTTGAGGGCGCTATTTTAAAATACCGGTATGCACAGTGGGCCACGCACTACGCTCAATGCATGCCCATTGGGATTACAAGACGCGGGTGCTCTGTCTCCTTTTCAAATCCTTCTTGGATCTTTTTGACACTCCACGATGCCCGTCCTCGACTACGGTATCTGGTACATGCTGTTTCCTTGCGCGATGCCGTAGCCAACATCTGCTGTCACCACACACTGTATTCGAGACGCTAGCTGCTAGGTGACGGCTACCGGTACCGTATTGAATGAGAATCAATCATTTGGAACATGGTTTAGAGTGCATGAGAACGTCGGTCGATCCCGCACGATGATGCCAATTGCGACCCGAACGTCTGCGTGATTGAACCGTCGCTTTGCATGCTACAGCTGGGTTAGTACATGTAGCAGCATCGATGACAACTCATGGCTTCTAGCTAGCTACCGGTAGCTACAGTGTAGTAGTTCTGAGAGAGAACACTTAGAACTGTTATGGTAGTTTAGTTGCGTCGGTCTGGTATAGTAGTTGAGGAATGGTCGAATGTTTGAAAATCAGTCGCGCGGTGGATGTGTCTCGTCGATCTCGTTGTTTGTTTCGACTCGACTCTTGCATCTTTCGTCTCTACATGTATGTAAGTCAGTCAGTACTGTAGCCTACTTTTTGAGATGTCGAAGCTTTTGCTGCTGAAGTGCAATCTTTTGTCGTCGATCGTTCCAAAAGTCTTGTCCCTTTTGGTCAAAGTAGGAATCGTGGTCCCACTTGCCCAGACGGGTGCTCTTTTTCGTCTTGTCGTCGTCGTCGTCGTCGTGACTGTTGGCGACCATCTTGCGGTTCTCGGGACGGCTCTGAAGGACCTTGCCGTGACGATTCTTGCGTCCCATGGCAAATGCATTCTTGGAAATCGTTGTCATGTCCATGTCGTGGTCGCCGCCAGACGGATGCGTGTTCGTCGTCTTTTGCTGCCGGTTGTGGTTGTGATTGTTCCATCGACGAGTATCCTCGACGGCCTTGCGAACGTTTTCCTTTCCCATCTTGTCGACGTATTCAAACAAGACTTTGCGGTTCACACTGATGGGACCAATCGTCAACAAGGGCTCCTTATTATAGGACGACGACGCAGCGCGATTCTTGGTGTCGTTGTTTTGGGGTCGAATCGTGTGGTGCTCTTCGAAGCAACGCAACAAAAAGAAGGAGAAAAGTGAGAACTCGGCAACAAACCGACACCAAAGGCAAGGAGAGATGCATTGTTGTTACCACTCATTGTTCTGTACTATTGCTGAAGTTGTTGTTGTTGTGATGGACGCTCCGTAGCCAAAGAGACACGGTTGTGTGCACCGAGATAAAAAAAAGTGTGGTCGAGAGGCCTCGCGACTTGGGCCCTTTACCGTAGTTTTTAGAAATTACCGTGCAACCGCAACTGCAACTCCAATCGCAGTGTCATTTTCAAACTATTGGCACTCTTCGTGCTGCTTCGTGTGGCTGGTTCTACCGGTAGATACCTAGGGGGGTTTAGAGTAGGGAAGTTATCTATGGAAGCCAACGAGGGCCAGGCTTAGAGGCAGAGAAGAGGCAAAATTGGGGACTGCTACTAGGCTCTGTGGAAGCAGGGGAGATACCGGTACCGTAGGAGATTGAGGACCAACTCGGTGGTGGCGGATTCACCTCACGTCTTGAAGTGCAGAGGTTCCTTTGTATCATACCGTACTGCATGATGTTGGATTCGATTCCGCTGTGGATTTTTCGGACCAACCCGGATCCACTTCTCGTAGTAATAAGGGGGTCTAGTCTACCTAGAGTCTGGAAGTTATCTCCGGTGGACAGACCTCAATGCGGTACAGCACAGAGAACACTATGTAAAACGAGAAAGCACATCCTCAAAACTAGCTACCGGTAGATAAGTTGACAAGATGCATCTCTCTTGGCTCCACATCCAGCAAGGACAACTTGAGAGAACCGAGAAGCCTTTTTTGGTTTGGATCCGTAAGACATCAGAGCAGAACGGTTTGGGATGATGTGGAAATGAAGCTCGCTTTCATTGGCACCTCTAGCTAGCTCTCTAGAGAGGCATGTGTAGGGTAGTATTGTGGCTCTGGGCCGCATCAACTTTACCTATTGCTGCTGGTAAACAAGCAAACGCTCCCCTCCTCGGAGCGCAACATTCTCCTATTTTCCACTCTACGCCCAGTATCCACCCATCAGAATGGGAGCGTGGACGGCAGCCAGCCAAATGGCAGAAGAAAAGGATGGCTGTCCAGCAGCAGCTAGCTAGCATGTAGGTACTGTACATGGACGTGTAATAGTGACATAGAACAAACCAACCCGTGGAATGGAAATACCCAACACGATAACGTACGATATGGCATCTACCAATATTTGAATGAATGAGGAGCCACTGAGATAGAAGAAGGCATGGCAGCTGCCCGACGATTTCCTTCCTTCCCCAGCAACGCTACGAGATTTGAAAACCACCTAGCTAGTCGGGTATTTTCTGTTCTCTCTCCAAAGGAACGAATGTAGAGTGTAGCGACCAGGGTCGAGCCAGGCTAAGCCAAGCAAAGCCAGGCAAAGTCAAACCAGGCTAAGCCCAGCCAAACCGAGTGTCTTACGGTGGATTGATGGCGCTAAACTTAAGAGAAGCTACCGAATGGATCTCTCGTTGACGATTGAACCAATATTGAACTTCCTTTGTTGCTTCATGACATCCTCCCTCCTTCACTCATCATATCCTGATGCCAATTCATTAAAATAATTGTCGCTTGCTTACTTTGCTTGTTTGCATGCATGGATCCTTCCTTCTGTCTGTCGCCTTTTTATTTCTTTTTTTCCAGATTCATAAAGCAACCCCCCGAAAACCTGTAATATGCCAAATTCTTGTCATCCATGACTTCCATGGCCTGTAACTTGTTAAAGTTAAGATCCTGGTCTTTTACCGCCACACCCGTCTTTTCCTCGAGCATGGCCTTGATTTCGGCAAAGGTGTCTGTTTGTGGATTCACCGACAACTCGATATCCTCTTTGCCGTAACGAACCGTCACTCTTACTGTATCTCCGTCGTCAGCCATTGTATTTGTGTATTCTAGCTAGTCAAGGTCAAGTCAAGTCAGTGTTGTGTAATCCTTCTGATCAGCAGTTTGTTTGCTGAATGCTGAGATGATGATCGCTTGGAACAGAAAGAAGGACGAAAGATCTTTTTGTCCTCTCCGCCGTTTCTTTTTTGGTGGTTGGCGGTCATCGAAGACCTTTTAATAGCTCCATCTCTAATGATATTCGCTTAGATTCGACTTGACTGGACTTAGTCAATCCCGTGTGATGTGGACTTTCAGTCGTGCACAAAGATACGCTGCATCCAAGGTCGCAAGATTCTGGCCCCTCATTTCTTTACTCAATTGTCTTTCGTTCTCGTGCTGTGCTACCCAAGAGAAGGGGTATAGCTTGTCATTCTGTAGGACCATGTCAACATCGTCCCCGTCGTGGTTCCCTTCCTCTTTGATAATAATGTCCATGTCGACCAAACTCACGGAGCTCCTCTTGTTCAGTGTGTCGGCAGCAGCCTATGTGGCCCTTACCAAAAGCACCCGGTCTCCGACAGGTAGCAATAGCTTGATCCAATCGCTGCAAGAAGGAACGTCCTTGAATGCCAAGGAACGAGTGTGTACGGTCAATGCGAATAATGAACCCACGTCCACGGGACACTACCGAAACGAAATGAGATTGCAGAAATTGTGGCACAGGGCGACCTACATTTTGGTACTAGTCTGTGACAAAGAAGACAACCAAAAGAAGCAGAAACAACATGTCATTGTCCAAAAGAGATCCGCCATCAAAGACTATTGTCCCAGAAAACTGGATCCCACGCCGGGTGGAGTGGTGGGATTTGGAGAAACCAATTGGCACAATGCCACTCGCGAATTGGAGGAAGAATTGGGAATTACAATTGGAAAAGAGTCGGACGCCACCTTGACGCGCCTCTTTACATTTCCCTATCAAGACGAACATGTCAAAGTATTTGGAGAATTTTACGAATGCATCTACCGCGGCGATCCCCATAGCGACTTGACACTGCAACCAGAAGAAGTGGAATCCATTGAAATTGTACCACTGGAACAACTCCGACAACGCATTCAGACGGCGCCGCACGAATTCATGCCGGATGCCTGTCATGCCATGCAATTGTACTTTCAACGGACACAAGATGCCACATTGCAACGACGGTTACTCAAGGGATATTCCAGTGGGGATTTGGATCATTATCGACTACGGCCCAAACCAAAAGTCATTTTCTTTGATTGCGACGATTGTCTCTATTTTGATCACTGGAAGGTGGCGGGGATGCTCACGAAAAAGATTGAAGAATGGTGCATTACCAAGGCCAAACTACAACCGGGACAAGCGTATCAGCTGTACAAACAGTACGGTACGGCGCTCAAGGGGTTGTTGGAAGAAGGATATTTGGAAAACACAAAAGAGGCCATTGATAGGTATTTGCAAGAAGTGCATGATATTGGTGTGGAACAACACATTGCACGAGACGACAAACTCCGCGACATGATTATACGAATGGATCCCACTATTCCTCGCTATATTTTTACCGCTTCGGTACGGGAACATGCCCAACGCTGTTTGCGCGCGCTCGGAATTGACGATCTCTTTGACGGTATTATTGACGTCAAAGATTGCCAGCTCGAAACCAAACATGCCCGCCAATCGTTTGAGTGTGCCATGGCCATTGCCGGTGTCCAAGAACCCGAGGCGTGCTTGTTTGTCGATGACAGTCTCAAAAACATTCATACGGCGCGCGAAATGAAATGGAGAAGTGTTCTGGTCGGCAAGGTGGGACGAGATTGTGGAACGACCATTACATCGGAACATGCCGAGCAAGAAATTGACCGGATTCACGAGTTTCCCACCGTGTGGCCCGAGTTGTTTCTGTAGGGTAGTTTCAGTACTCTAGCTGCCAGCTAGTAGCAGAGAAAGTTGAATGATGCGAAGGATTTGCAAGACCCAAGCGCTTGCTTCCCTGGCTGCGCGGTCTTCAAATATGGATTGTTATTTAGATTTCCAGTTACGGTAGATATGAAAACTACAAGATGGCCGTAGCACAAGCTGGTAACATGACAACCGTACCGTACGGTAGCAACGAGGAGGAACTTGCTCCCGTCAAGAGCAGGCCAGGAGGCAAGCAAGCAAGCAAGCAGCTTGCCACAACCAACTCTACCAACTCTTTTGTTGATTGATTGAAAACATCATCATTGACCGTTTTGTTTTCTTCTTCTGTGCACTGGATGATCATATGAAGGCTCCAAGCTTCCTTTTTCAAGTCGGCCTTGGCGGCTCCGTTTCAAAAGCTCAAAGGCTTTCGGCCCGGAACATCATCGTGGAGCAATCGCGAAAAGAGGAATGAGACTACCGCAGAAAACATGTAACCCAACAAGAACCTTCTAACTAGCTAGTGCCTTGAGGATTAGCGCAACGCGTGTAGCGGAATGAAGAGCGATTGTCTGCTCCTCCTTGTCGTGCATTGTGAGCTTAAAAGGTTCAAGCAGAGGGTGGATGAAAATGGCTCGAGACAGATCGCCGCAGCTGTCAAAGGTGTCAGACCGGGGCTCGACTCGCTGAGGACTCGACTGAGAACTCGAATCGACTGTCGCTCGACGCCAATGATGACTGACAGGAGGCAAGTCAGAGTTCTTGAACTTGAAGGTTGGATAAGAACTTGAAGGCGTAGGATTTCAAGTTTGGCAGCGATCCCATGGACTGGAATTGTCGATTCTGTCACCCCGAAGGAAGGCTCTACCTCCAGGTTGGTTGCAAGTGGCGGTGACAGCTTTTCTTGCGGAAGCATCTACGACTTGGAAGGCCTGATCGGAGTCGAGTCCAACAGAGTTCGAGAAAGTCGGGAGGGAAGAATGAATGGTAATTGGAGCATTGTGCGGAAGCATTCCGCCGGTGCGGAAGTACTCATCAACGAACGATTTCTGCCCTGCCACATGGACATTACGAGGGCCGAGGACGAACCCGTGCCGTGCGTAAGCTTGCAGTCAGTCAGTCACCAACTTGAACACTTCCGCAGCTGCAGGGCAGAGAATTCCATAGAGATGGGAGCGAAAAGGCACTGGAGGTGCGGAAGCACTTCCAAACTTGAAAAATCTCTACCCAACCAACCGAGCCACCATCCCCGGGCCGGCCCAAACGAGAGGCAGCTGCTGCATAGCTTCTTGTTTCCGTCAACACTTGCTTCTTCAAGTTCAGTAATGCTTCCGCAAGTTGCTTGCTCGCAGGGAAGCAAATATTGGGTCCTACTCCATGCACGTGCCGCGTCTACAGCAGTCTCTCTTTTGCTTTGAAAGCCCGTCCGATCTGGCTCTTGGCCAGAGATTTGATTTTTGGCAGGACGCGGGAGTTGAAAGAACCAAGCCAAGCAAAAGCTAGCTAGGATGACTGCGCCTTCGGTAGGTGCGCGAACACAACACTACCGCAGCTGGAATGACCTACCAGCTGATAAATTTGAAGCTGGTACGTTGAAGCTACATGTCATTTCGAAGATCTGTTCATCCACATGCAAAATACGGAGCTAAGTGGTAACTGCCATGGTGGGGTGCTGCTGTGGTTTTTGTTACCCACCGAAAGCATCGAAGGAGCGAATAGCAGCCAAAGAAAGATAGAACGACTGCGCTGGGTCCTGCTGACAGGGAGAGGACGAACATCATGGTTAGTTTTCACTGGTTGCCTTTAAAAGCTACAAGCCAACTAACCAGGCAAGTGGCTAGCTAGTTCATTGGAAGCAAGCAGAAGCAACTCGTCCTAACTAATACGGTGTTCCCAGCAGGACTGAAGTTAGTAGCGACACTGGTTATGGTAAGAAAACAGTGATTTAGCATTGGTTCAAGTCTCAGGAAGCTGATCCTTGTGCTACAGCAGGTGCCTCTGCTACGGTGTCAACTACTGGAAAAGCGAACTTTGACCAAAGATATCGTTGTGGCCTCCTACTCTAGCTAGCTATGGTAGTCGATTGCTTTCTAGTTCATCCTCCGTGACGTTCATCTACTAGTAGTAACTAGTTGTGACTTCTCGTGGTGGTCGTAGAGGGTCTGATGCTCGAAGGACTCTTTGATAGTAATGGTAATACTAGTACCGGTAGGATAGATAGTTGTTGTCTTAAGAGTTTAGAACTTAAAAAATGGCATACAAAAGGATCCATTCAATAGCGGTCTATGCCTGCTGGGAGGTTATGAAATAGCTGGAAGCGCGATATGTTTCGTTTGAATGTCTAAGCGACTAAGCACACTGGGCATTGTAAGAGTTTCTTCGCTTGATGGTCAAGCGGGGAGGAGTGGACTGCAGGTCGTCCCATAGCTTGCCGGTGGCGTTTTCCTTGGTGGATTCATCATTGTTTCGGAAGGAAATTCGCACCACATCTTCATTGTCGTCTTCCTGTGTTGGTCTCCTGTTGGATCGTCGAATCTTGTGTCTCAAGACGTGTGCTGGTGCGGGACGGCAAGTCAGTGTCGGTGTCTCCTCAACCAACTCGGGTGCTTCGTCCATTGCAATGGGCATCAAGAGATGGTCCAGTTCACCCTCTAGAAAGTGGCTGGGCTGAAAGACACGCTTGCGAGGACGTGGTGCCATGGGAGCATCGGGAAAGAACATAGGAATGCGGCTGTGGGGAGGAGTGCAAGGAATAGACACCTCGTCATTGAGCGCAGTAGGAGTGGAAGCACGGGTAATATCGTTGTTGAGGGTCGTCATTGTTGGTTTCGTTTCGTTCGGTTGTGGTGGGTTGGTTCGTGGTGGTTAGCTTTTATGAAATGAATTCAAGTCAATTTGTGAGTCAATTTGTGAGCTGCCTCCGAATTTTGTGTCCCTTCATTTCTCAACGCCAAAGCTTCTTCGATGGAAGCAGGGCAAGCCAAATTCAATCGTACAAAAAGGGGCTGGCTTCCCTTGAGAATCGATGCCGATGAACCATCACGGTTCCCGTGAAAATAGCTGGCGATCCCTTCCGCGAGTTTTCTTGGAAGCAGAAGGAAAGTGTCTACTATTAATACATGTACCAGGTACCTGGTACCAGTTGTTTTGACGCGATCGTCCAAGGACCAAGGAGACCAAGAGTACCAGCGTACCAGCACGAACGTAGAAAGAACCAGTTATTATTCCTTTCCCATTCTTTACCTCCACGATTGCAAAGCACAGCTAAAAACTAGATCCTACTTTGCTTTAAGATAATTCACTTTGAATGTCTTGCATGTTTAGAAGCAACATGTAGACTGGCTAGCTAGCCAAAGCTATGCGAACAAGCAAGCAACCAGTAGATAGATAAGCAAGCAACCAGTAGCCGTGTGATGTATATTTTCTATTCTCTCCCAACACCGCCACTTTACTCCGTTTGTCGTCTCTACTGATGGTCTCCTTGGCGCCGAAGCAAGCCCAGCCAGCGAGGCAAGTTAATGCTTGGCTCAGCCATGCTCGGCTCAGCCTAGCTATTCTTCCTCCCACCACATCTGCATGCATGGCTCTCATGTCCCTGCTGGCACAATGAGCTACCGTCTTTCTCTCTGGCGCACTTGCACTCTGCTCCTAATCTTTCCCCCCTTCCTGCCTCTTGACTCGACTCCCCCTTTTCCTTGTCTCACCCCCGCCACCCCCGCCACATTTTGCCCTGCTCCTCTTTGCTCTCCCAGTACACCCCACCACCAAAGCCACTGCTCTGCCTAGCTAGCTCAGCCCCCCTCACTCCTTATATTCATAGATTCGCCCCGTTTTAGATGCACTGCGCTTTGACAATGACAAAGTGACCTTTGTCTTTTAAAAAAGGCATCAAACAATCTTATCAAAAGGGTAAGTATCTTGAAAGTAATAACGGTAGGTTGCCGGTTTGGTTCGAACAACAAGAGTGACGGTGGAGTTGACAAGGGAAAGGGCAAGTCGTTAAGTAAATTTTTGGTCACGGAAGATTTACGAGCGAGCACCCACTCGATCCGTCAGCGTACTCTGGAAAGGTCTAGCTATTTTGGCAGCATATTCGAACAGCACAACAACAGCACAACAGCGACAATGGTAAGGGTAACCAAATGGGCCGTACAGATCTCTTCTAGCACCTCTGTAGAAAACGAACTACATGTACGGTAGAGCAACTACTCGTAGCTACCGGTAGTGATGATGGTTGCCCTTGCCACCACCCAACACCTTCCGTCGGCGGCAGCCCATTTCGCTACGGTACTAGTAACTAGCACTGGGGTATCGTTGTTATTAATAGCAGTAGCGGTCGATCATTCGCTCCTTTGACGAAATCAGAAAGAATACTGCACAGGAGTCTACAGTACGAGCTTACACGGGGATTCTGCGACGACAAGAGGAGAGGAGGAGGGTTGCCTCGAGGCAACTCCAGACGGAACTAGTTGTACTGAAAGCAATAATCAGCTACCAATGTAACAACCTGGCCCCTTACCGTACATCGCTTCGCCCTGTGGAATGCTGCGGAGTGATCGTACGAGCATCCGGTTGTACCATACAGTACTTGTTCGAGCCAACAAGAGTGGCACGTATAGGTGTCGCCGGGTTTGTTAGATATCAAGCCATTCCGAAAGGTGTGTGTCCTTTGAATAGCAGAGAAGCAGGCCCCCAAGCCGAGAGCCACCACTGCGACCGAAGCGTTCCAGCGACGCGCTACCCCACCACTTTAGAAGCTGACGCCACTCTTTGTTGTTGTCAGCGAAAGGATCAACAGTAGCCCACTCTACTCTAGACTACTAAGTAGCTCTAGCTAGCTAGTACCAGAAAATAAATACTAAATAGATACGTTAAGGAGCGAGGGGGGCGAGGCTAGGCAAAGCAGTGGCTGCGGTGGTGGGTGGCTGGTGTGGTGGGCATACGGGGAGAGCAATGAGGACGCGAGCAGGGCAAAACAAGGGGGGCAGGGAAGGGGGGTGCATGGAGGAAAACCAGGAAGGACAAGGGAGCAAAATTAGCGGAAGAGTGCAAGTGCACCATGGGCATCCCAGGGAGAACGACGGTAGCTCATTGTGCCAGCAGGGACACGAGAGCCACGCATGCAGAGGTGGCGGGCCCGAAGAATAGCTAGGCTGAGCCGATCATTAACGTAGCCACGCACCACTGAGTAAGGGCGTTCCCACTTTGCAGCGAGCAAAGCGGAAATACGTTTCGCGAGTGCCTCAGCTTCGGCCCCAAGGAGACCATCAGCAGAGACTACAAACGGAGTAAAGTGGCGGCGTTGGGAAAGACAGGCGTCGAGATACTTGCGTTTCTTATCACGTTCGCCATTGCGAAGGACCTTGTCAGGATCCTTGCGACAGTGAGAAGCAGCATCAAGATTGATGACACCTGCTATCGCGTCAAGGAGATTTGACCGGCTTTGGCTTCCTGTTCAACAATTTCGAAGGCCTCCCTATTGTTTTAATTCGGAAAAGAAGGTGATTTGTCCAAGATGTCCATTGCCTCTTTGAGACACTGGTTGCTCGTTGCTCGTTACTCGCACCGGTACCGGTCGGTATTTAAAATACCGGTACCTGATTGCTGTACCACGTACACGTAGTAATTGATTTATTTGTTTTGCCCAAACCTTCAGCCCTTATCAGTACCGGTATCATACCGGTACCGGTACCGGTATGATAGCACTGTGTCCTTTAGAAGTCATGCAAAACTTTTACAGGACACTAACTTCGCGGAAGCTCAAGATTTAATGACAACAGTGTAGTAAACACTGCTCAATTAGTCTAAACAACTCGAGTATTTAGTAACCTCCAAAGAGAGAATAATCCACTGCTAGCTTAGCTAGAGTAGCTCTACTATTACTACCACCGGTTACCGGAAGTAATAGATGCCCTCCTCGTATGCAGAAGATCGCTTTCCGTAACCCAACGACTGATAAGTAAAAATCGGCTACTGACACATAATTCCAAACACCCATTAATTCTTTTGTACTAGTATTGCACAGCAATAAGGAGCGACGGGTACGACTGTGTGCCATTGGCCCGATAACAGGTTGTGTTTGGCCAACCAACAGAGGCAGCTCTTGGCCAACCATTCACCTCGAGATTCTGCACTGCCTGCACACACCCAACCCACTCGACCAAATCCCAGCCAAACCACGAACAGCAAAACGACGAGTACAGCTGTACTAGCTAGCTAGTTTAGTGGCTCTATTCATTTCCGCAGCCCGTCAAATTTTAAAACAACCACAGACAAGGCGAGCACTGCTGAAGATCAAATTATAATACAAAGTACCATTTTCTTTTAAAACCAAGCACACAAGCAAAGATGAAGTCTCTTTGGTCTTCTCCCAACAGTAACGAGGAAGAAGAGGAGATTACTGTACCTGATCCCAACTCGTCTGTTTCTCCTCCTAATACTCCTTTTGATCCTTTTCGATCGCAGATGTTGCTCTCCACTAGAACCTCTTTGGCTGCTCCTGATGGTCCCCTGTACCCAGGTGATCTCCTGGTGGAGACAGGTGCCACGGAAGACAGAGACAAGCAGAGCGATGATGATGATGATGACGATGACGATCACCCGTTCAATGACTCAAAGAATAACAAGGATGGTGATGATGCCTGGAGTGAGTCTCCCAGCAACCTCGACTTCTCCATTTCCAGTATGGATATTGAACGCGGTATCCGTAACGGTGCTATGCAGAATATAGCTTTTGAGTACGTGTACAGCACTTTGTACGACTTGGTGTATGACATCTGTACGTGGCCCAGGCTCCTACTCAGCTACTGCCTAGGCATGTTTGGCTTGACGCGAAAGAAGAACAATGATGCTGACGGACCATTGCCACCGAATGGCAACAATCATGTACAAGACATGGCTGTAGCAGCTTCACAATCAGCAGCCATTGGAATAGGAGCAGTAGTCATGGCAAGTCAGTCGGCTGCTGCTGGAGCTGGGGCATCCTCCATGACAGCTGCTGTCTCGGCTCTTTCCACGCCTACCAAGATTAGCATCATTGTGGCGGCAGCCATCACAGTGACTGCTACTACTGCAGGAATTGCCACAGGAATCAGTGGTGGCAGCGACAACATTGTTGGCCCCTGCGCTGTTAGCATTGAAACTACTGATGTCAAGCAAGGTGTCCTGCTAATCGCTTTTTCTTCATCAGATCCAAACATTGCCGTTGCCACACCTTCTACCGGCGAATTGCTCTTAGAGAACAAAAAAGAGCTCGAAGATATTTTTGCTCAAGTCTACAACAATGTCACTGCGGATTCCATCAATGGTGCCCTAGTTGATCAATGTGACACCCCCCATATTCCAACTGGTGGTGTCCAGCTGATGCAGGTTGAGTCGTCTGAAGATGACAATTTTACCAATACCTTTTGGGTTGCCGATGTGCAATGCAATGGATGCTCCGACACAGACCCACTTTTTGGAACCGACACGGAAGGGAGTCCCCAACTTGATCTTGCGGGGACTGTTGTTGATGATTTTGTTGACCAGTTTACTCGAGCTATACAACCCATTCTGACTACAAATGATCCAACACAAGAAACTGACCCAATGACCAGCCCACCACAGCCGGAACAAGAAGACCCACCAACAGACATTTTGTTTGTGGCACTGGTGGATCCAACGACAGGAGAGATTCTCCCAGAACAGCCACAACGGCTGGGACCTGGTGATCTGATTGAGCTGCTTCCAAGCTTAGACACAATTTGGAATGAAAACACAAATGGCTCAGAACAAGACAGACTAGTACCAGGTTCTCCTTCTTCAACCGTTGTATCTGCTCCTACAGCCACTTCCAACGTAGGGCCGCCTGCTGCTATAGATGCCAATCTTCCTACCGCAACTACCAGAACAGAGTCAAAGCCTACCCCAACTGCAGCTGCACCCACAAACACTGGAATCATGGAATCAAGTTCCAACAATGAGATGCCCAATGTCCCACCAGCAGCAGGAAGTGGAGTATCCAATCAGGGAGCCACTATTGGTCCAACTGTTGTTTCTGGCCAAGCCAGTTCTGTTGCCACCAACCCCATTGTTACCAAACAACCAAGCGGTAATGCTGGCACTTTTGCTCCAGCAGCAACAAGTCCATCATTCTCAATGGCCAATAAAGATCAAGTTACAACCAATGGCAACCAGCAGCAAGAACAAGAGCCATCCTATGAGCCAAACTCATTAGCACCAGCTACCGGTGCATCAAGCTCCAATCCCATGTTGCCATCCATTGTGATACCAGCGTCAACCCCAGCCAATGGCAATACATCACCAAGTGTGGCTCAGCCAATGGCCCCTTCTAATGTGGACCAGACCAACACCCAACCCACAGCAAGCGTTCCAGCCCCTACTCCTAATCGTCCCACTGATGTTACCGTTCCCCAGGCACCAAAACAGGCTCCATCACCTGCAGGCATTCCAAACATAGGCCCAGTCAGCCCGAATGCTAAGATGCCACCAACACAGCTAACAACCAATTCTCCCGCAACCCTTGGAAAACCCACAAAAGATATACTGACAATGGCTCCAACAAGCAAGATGCTGTCAGCAGAGACATGTGCTGGTATGCAAATGTTTGCAGGGTCCCGTGCTTCATCTGGAGTGTGCAACAACATCAAAAAAGGTGATGGCAATGATGGAACCAATCCATCTCCTTCCCCTGTATCCATATATCCTACCATATCAAAGGCAACCCTTACTCCATCAATGATGAAAGCATTGAATGATTTCACCAACACAGGATCTCTATCTGACTCATCCATAAGGACATCGGCCAACCCTACAGTGCAACCTCTAACAAATATCCCCACTACAAACCCCACTTTTGAACCAACAGATAGCCCAACCATGTCTCCTACCAACCAGCCAACAGATGACCCAACAAGTTATCCTGAAGAAGTATCAACAACAACACCTACTGAGAACTCAACCCCGATTCCAACAATGGATCCCACAAGTATTCCTTCCCAACGAATCACCAGTCAGCCCACCAATAGAATTGCTGAAGAACCAACAGAGGCCCGCCCATCAGTGCAGGAGGACTATTTTCTTTCCTTTAGTGGGCCAACCACCAGTTGGTCGGACCAGGAGATGATGGATGCGTTCGTCGAGGTCTACACGTCCCTGCCCGGCTCTGATTCCGTAATTGATGCTATACAGGTTGGTCAACCGGTCTCCACTGAGGATGGCTTCTACCTTGAGTTCACTGTGACATCCAGTCCAGAGCCCTTGGACGAGGAGCTTACGTCCTCTGCGGCGCAGTTCCTGCAGGAGTACAACGAGGAGATCCAAAACACTGGGACGTTGCCTTGTCTTTGAGTATGGAGTCCCCAAGCAGCAGCCCATCAGTGCAGGAGACTATTTCTTTCCTTTAGTGGCCAACCACTGGGTGGACTGAGCAAGAGATGATGGATGCTTTCGTGGAGGCATACGGCTCCCTGCCCGGCTCTGATTCCACCATTGATGCCATACAGGTTGGGGAACCAGTCTCAACTGATGATGGCTTCTACTTTGAGTTCAAGTGACCTCCAGTCCAGAGCCCTTGGACAAGACCTCATCGTCACTGAGGACCTGTTCCTGCAGTACAACGAGGAGATCAAAATACCGGGACTGTTGCCTTGTCTTTGAGTATGGAGTCCCCAAGCAGCAGCCCATCAGTGCAGGAGACTATTTCGTTTCCTTTAGTGGACCAACCACCAGTTGGACGGACCAAGAGATGATGGATGCTTTCGTGGAGGCATGCGGCTCCCTCCCCGGCTCTGGTTCCACCATTGATGCCATACAGGTTGGGGAACCAGTCTCAACTGATGATGGCTTCTACCTTGAGTTCACCGTGACGTCCAGTCCAGAGGCCTTGGACCAAGACCTCACGTCGTCTGAGGACCTGTTCCTGCAGGAGTACAACGAGGAGATCGAAAATACCGGGACGGTTGCCTTGTCTCTGAGTATGGAGTCCCCAAGCAGCAGCCCATCAGTGCAGGAGGACTATTTCGTTTCCTTTAGTGGGCCAACCACTGGGTGGACTGAGCAAATGATGTCATATGCCTTTGTGGAAGCGTACAACTCCCTTGCAGGCTCTCGGTCATCAATTGAAAGCATAGTGGTTGGAGAACCTGTTCTCTCTTCCGGTGGAAGCTTCTATGTGGAATTCACTGTGACGTCGAGTCCTGATGCCTTGGATGAAGAGCTCACTGCCTCTGTCGGAGAATTTTTGCAGTGGTTCAATATGGAAATCAATACTGGGGCTATTGCTGAGTCCTTATCCTTGTCTTCATCGTTGGACCCTCAGATTCGTTATGCGCCATCTGCAGTCCCCAGTGTGCAACCAAGCACTTTACCAAGTGCCAGTCCCAGCAACAGCCAGGCTCCATCAACTCCCCCAAGTCCGCAACCAAGCATGTTGCCAAGTTCCAGTCCCAGTGAGGCCCCTTCATCAAACCCATCATCATTGCCATCCACAATTCCAAGTCCGGGTCCATCCACAAAGCCCTCAGCATCTTCTGTGCCCTCATTAAGCCCATCATCAATGCCATCTTCGAATCCAAGCACTGTTCCATCCTCCATGCCATCTCATTCTGCCACACCATCTACATTTCCCAGTACTGGCCCATCCGTAGTGCCATCTGGTTTTCCATCATCAAGTCCATCATTATCATTGCAACCATCGGTTCATCCATCAGATGCTCCATCAATAAATCCTAGTCTTGGTCCATCCAATGTGCCTTCTACAAACCCAAGCTCCAGTCCTTCTGGTTTTCCATCCACAAAGCCTAGTGTTGGTCCCTCTTATGTGCCTTCCAAAAGCCCAAGCAACCATCCATCAATTGGTCCTTCTTCTAACCCAAGCATCAGTCCTTCTGGTGTCCCATCCTCAAGTCCTAGCATTGTTCCATCCAATTTTCCCTCCGCCAGCCCAAGTCAAAGTCCAACGTCTGTGCCTTCCATAGTGCCATCATTTAGGCCAACAAACTCTCCATCTATGCCACCGACAAAGTACCCCACCCGTCCACCTACACCTATGCCAACCAATGAACCAACACCACGGCCTACTCAGCAACCAACCCCACAGCCTACGGCAGCACCTACGAAAGCCCCCACTACACTCCCAACTAAAGCCCCCACTTCACTCCCAACTAAGGTCCCCACCAAATCTCCAAGCAAAGCCCCTACTGTGGCTCCAACCCAAATGCCATCATCCGTCCCATCTTCTGCTCCAACTCCTGGTACGTAGAATGTGCTGTTCGTCTATACAAATCCAAATCTGGTTTCTCCGCTAAAAGATTTTGCATTTTTCTTCCCACCACATGAAGTCTTTGGGGACAAGACTGCTTTAATAGCAGCTTTGGAACAGGGCGACTACTCATCCACTGGTCCCTATGGTAAGCTCACATTGATGCAAAGACTCATTGTTGTATCCTAGATGTGGTCAAACTCATCCGAACTCCTTCACCCAAGGTTCCATTGAATCGTGGAACGTGCAAGCAATGGATGGTATGTGAACCTCAGGAATGTGTCTACCTTTCAATCTATCCTCGGAGCTCACATCTATGAATTTTCCAACAGATTCTTTGATTAGTGGGCTCACAAATGTGGCTACATTCAATGGGGATGTGAGCATGTGGGATGTCAGTGGAGTAACTTCCATGGACTCTGTCTTCCTTAGTATGTACTCATACTTTCAACTGTGTGTACAGGCTTGGAATCCATGGCAATCTAACGCAGTTTTTGGCTTCCATGCTCAACAGACGCTGTTGCTTTTAATGTTCCACTGAACAGCTGGGGTAAGTCCACTCACTAGAAGTTCAGTCCTTTCCTGCTAATTTATGACTAGCTCACCTTTTATCTCTTCCAATTATGTAGATACGAGCCGTGTTCAATCGCTTGCTTGGGCTTTTTATGGTACAACTTCATTCAATGGGGATATTAGCTCTTGGGGTGAGTCCATCCATTGAAAGTTGGAAGTAAATGCATTTCAGTGATCTATGCTCTTATAAATATGCTTCAATCATCTAGACGTCAGCAGCGTTACAACCATGCGTGATACGTTTGACTCGGCCACATCCTTTAATGGTGACATCAGCTCTTGGGGTAAGTTCGGGGCTTGTCGCCGCCATCAGTACATTTTTGAGGTGTAGCACTCACCTGTCTGTGTTATTTACCTCATGATAGATACTGGAAATGTTGCAGATATAAGCTCATGCTTCGAATATAGCGCATTCAATGGTGATCTCAGTAACTGGGGTAAGTCTCATGCCTCAGAACTTCGAGTGTTCAGAATTGTTGATTTTGACATTCCACACCCTTCTTTACTGCGCCACAATTATAGATACAAGTAAAGTCACAAGCCTGTATCGTACCTTCTATGGAGCAGCTTCGATCAATGGGGATATAAGCACCTGGGGTGAGTCCATTAAAGTCATTGCCGGAATTCTGTGTTCTCTGCGCCCTTACATGTTTCCAAACCCCTAGTCATTAGCCGCGTCACGAGCATGCAATCTATGTTTAATCAGGCATCTTCCTTTAATGGTGACATCAGCTCTTGGGGTAAGTTCGGGGCTTGTCGCCGCCATCATTACAACTTTGAGGTGTAGCACTCACATGCATGTCTGTGTTTTTTCCTTGCAGATACTGGAAATATAGTGGACATGAAAGTAGTCTTCAAATATTCCTCATTCAATGGTGATCTCAGTGGCTGGGGTAAGTCACAGGTTTCTTAACTTCCAGTGTGCAGAATTGTTAATTCTGACGTTGCACACTCTTCCTTCCTTGGCCGCAATAATAGATACAAGTAAAGTCACAAGCCTGCATCAAACATTTCTAGGCGCACCCTACAACCGAGACGACCTCAATGGATGGGGTAAGTTGTGTCATTGCCCCAAAATATAGAAAAATTGAAGTCATGACTGATTTGGTTCTCCTCTTTATTATGCTTAGACATCAGATCGGTTACATCACTGTATCAGACTTTTAAGGATGCACCATCCTTCAATGGCGATCTGAGTTCCTGGGGTGAGTATATACATTGCTGGTCTATCTGGCATCATTCATTCATTCATTCAGATAATATCTCAATGCCTCTCATCGAAACATACTTAGATACCAGTGGTGTGGTAACCATGGAACACACTTTTTGGCAAGCTACATCATTCAATCGTGATATCTCAAACTGGTAAGTTGACTTTCCAAACCATATCCAGATTCCAGTGCTGTTATAAGATAGATCCAGACCTCAACTCTGTTACCCCGTTTGCTTTTTATTGCTTTAACGTTGAAAGGGACGTCGCATCTGTGACAAACTTTTTTCGCATGCACTACCTTGCTTCTTCATTTGACCAGGATCTGTGTGCCTGGGGTACCAAAATAACAGGCACTCCTGATGTAACAGAAATGTTTATCAGTACTTTATGTTCTGAAGCAGCCACTGCTGTGGACTTGGGAGCAAGTCCAAAAGGACCTTTCTGTCATGTCTGTTAGGCATCCACCAAGACTCCTCCCAAAGCACCAACAATGGCTCCTGCCAAAAAAACCACAGCAGACACCTACCAAGGCACCCACAAATGTTCCTCCCAAAGCACCAACAACGACACCAACGACGACACCAACAACGACACCAACAACGACACCAATGCACTACGCTAAAAGCTAGTGTAAAGATCTTTCGAGTGTTTTGAGTTTGAGAGAATGAAACACACTATACCATTGCACTCCCGAAGGGAAAGCACGAAGTACCAGAGGTTGCCAATGGGCCTATGTAATAGTCCCGACATCTTCCAAAGGAAGATGAAAGCACGCGTGCATGACTTAGGGAATGTCCGTGCATACATTATGATCAACTCATCCAACGGACGTCGATCTCGCAGATCGCGCCGAATGGTAGGATGACCTTTTCCAAAGACTTCACGAAGTCGGGATTTAAATCAACACCAACCAAGGCCTTCCTCATAGGAAGAACTGAGTATCTAGACAATTGGACTTCTCGAGAAGGAAGCCAACCCTTAACCAAAAAAGACAATAGATGCGATCCAGCTATCGCTCTTCCCACCAACAGGAAGGAACTTCGTAGATTCATTGGACCAATGAACTACCAAAGGCTCTCCAAGACAGCAGACGGAGTAAACATCGTTCTGAAACAGACGTGGTTACCCAGTATCCATGACCGGTCGTCATGGACAGAGAACGTTAGTCCCGCGAGAGGTCGAGAAGACTCTCCCGGATGAACATGGACTTCGTCGCAAAGTTCACGCGCGTCAATCGTGACCAGACTCACCACATCCGTTTCAAAGCAAACCGGAAATACTATTAGGAACGTCGCCAACGACTTATCCAGAAAAACACGATAAGGAGACACGGCACGTGTCCCTCATCAACACCATGTCAACGACACTATGATATTCATCAGTATCAGAAACCGTTAATACGCCCAACCACAAGGTCCTTACCACACAGACCGAGTCAATAACAATGGCACTGTACGGCTCCGACATACTACCCCAATAGCGGCACAGTCTACCAGACTTGGAACATATGATTACACCATCAAGCCTGATCCCCTTGTAGGATTGCCATCGTGCGACGCACATGCTACATCCAATCTCCGGAGAGTGCCCGCACTTTAATTCATATGTTTTCCTTGTCCGACTGATGTCGTGCCTTTCGTGACCCTTGTCAGGGGGCGAATGCAATACACGGCTCTTAGCCTTATTCGCGACTCGATCCTAGATAGGGTTTGAGTTCGACTCATGACTAGTCTTTCGTGAATAGTCATTGAGACAGGGTTCTCATGACCGCTAGTCATACTAGGTCGATGATGAAACATCGCGCTAATATTTAGCTGGCGTGAGAGATTCCACGCTACTAGATAAAAGCTAGACGAATCTTCCACGCGTTCCGTTTTTGGATCGTGGAGTGAGTAGGATTGCTACCGCAACCTCTCTATCACACTCTACAGTCTCTCCGCGGGAGTTCAGATCTACGATCCTTTGATTGTGGATCTCTCTCGTTGATTTAGTTTTCATAGCTTTCTATCCTCTCATAAC